GATCGTTAGGCAATCTTACTTAAAATGATGAACTAAATTTGACAATCCTATTTGAAATAGAGAATTATTGTTAGGCAACTTTGCCTAAACGAAGAGCTATGTTTTGCAACCTTGCCTAAAATGATGAACTAAATTTGGTAACTCTATCCGAAAGTGAGATGATTGTTAGGCAACCATGCCTACAATGATGAATTAAATTTGACAATCCTTCCCGAAAGTGAGATGATTGTTAGGTAACCTTGCCCCGAAATGAGATGATTATTAAGCAACTCTACCTAAAAATGATAAACTAAATATAGCAACCCTACTTAAAACAATGAACTAGATTTGACAACCCTATCCGAAATAAAGAATTATCGTTAGATGAATTTTCCTAAACGACAAGCTAAGTTAGGCAACCCCGCTCGAAAGTGAGATGATTGTTATGTAACTCTGCCTAAAATCATGAATTACATTTGGCAATCCTATCTAAAAATGAAATGATTATTAGGCAACCTTGCCTAAAATGATGAGCTAAATTTAACAACCCCGTCTAAAATAGCGAATTGTCGTTAGCCAACTTTACCTAAATGACGAGCTAAGTTAGGCAACTCTACTTGAAAGTGAGATGATTGTTAGGCAACTCTACCTAAAACAATAAACTAAATTTAACAACCATGCCCGAAAGCAAGTTAATTGTTAGGCAACCCTACCTAAAACGATGCACTAAATTTGATAACCCTACCCGAAATAAAGAATTATTATTAGGCAATTTTGCCTAAACGACAATATAAGTTAGGCAACCTTGCCCGAAAGTGAGATGATTGTTAGGTAATTCCGCCTAAAATGATAAACTAAATTTGACAAACTTACCTAAAAGTGAGATGATTATTAGGCAATCCTAACTAAAAAGATGAACTAAATTTGACAACCCTATTTGAAAGTGAGATTGTTAGGTAACTTTATCTAAAACGATGAATTAAATTTAGCAATCCTCCCTAAAATAGAAAATTATTATAGGTAAATTTTTCTAAATAATGAAGTAAATTTGACAATTCTACTTGAAATAGAGGATTATCGTTAGGCAACTTTACCTAAATGATGAGCTAAGTTAGGCAATCCTACTCGAAAGTGAGATGATTGTTAGACAACCTTACCTAAAATGATGAACTAAATTTGATAACTTTGTTTGAAATATAGAATTATCGTTAGACAACTTTGCCTAAACGACGAGCTAAGTTTGGTAACTCTACTTGAAAGTGAAATGATTGTTAGACAATCTTACCTAAAACGATAGAATTAAATTATACGGTCATGTCCGAAAGAATGGTTTGGATGAATGTAAGTGCCTTTTATGATCTTATGACCTTAACTTTTGTGTTTGAATGGTGGTTCATTTGTTTCATTTGAGTTGAAATTCTTAAAATATATTAATAAGATTGATTGCAATGATTAGGTTCTTATCTATTACAAACATGAGTTATCCTACCTTGTTAACACTCAACTCCTCATTTGTGTTTCATTTTTGGTTATTTGAACTTCGTACTAAACTATATCCTACAGTACTACTATGATTCTCCTACCCTCTTAAGCCTTATTCACTCGTTCATTGTGAACTTAGGTTTTTTATCTTTTGTAAATAAACTAAGATGGACTGAACTTTTGCTAAACCTTTAAAGGTGATAACCCACCACTTGTTATGACCCACCCCTGTGAGACTATTCTCAACTACCTTAATTGCTTGCCAAATTTTAGTTGAATCATCATTCTCTCTCAAGATATGCTCTTTACCCCTTAACTTGATGGCTTTGGTTGTTTTGATTTATGCTCATAAACTTACTATTTGGGTCTTTGTTCCTCTAGTTGGTATTATGATGCCATTGTGCAACCAATTTGTTAAACTCAATTAGAGTTATTAGATCTTTGACATTACCCCTAAGGTTTTTCAATTTTATGGATTACTATTCAGGTCGGGTCATGAGATGCCTTCAAGTATTGGTTGATATTAAACATTTGTTATTCTCTTGACATAACTATTATTTATACTCGGATTTTATCTTTTGATGTTTGCATTATAATTTACAAATTGGTCTTGAAACTTTTATCATATTTTGAAAAAAATCATTAAATAAATATTTGGTTTTCATAGATTAAGCCATGAATTTGAATGATTTTCCTAAATATAATTTAGATCATTTGATAAAAAGTAGGGATGTTCCAATGAAAGTGATTTCATTTGTTTGATCAAAAATCAAAACATAAGATTCAAGTGCTATGATGTAATTTTTTCAAGAAGGTAGTTGGGCTAAGTAAAAAAAAATGTGTTTAGATTACGCAAAGTTTGTATAAAAACTAGTTTTTGATGCGCTTGAAGGTAATTATTCAAATGATAAATCCATTTTAGGTAAATAAAAGATGTTTGAGTACAAAGTATTTTGAAAAATTGATTATGAATGATAATTTTACCCGAGAATATCTTGATTCGGATTTTTTTCTCCCAAGTTAATTAATGAAAACTCATGATTTGATGTCATAAAGTCCGAAAAACAACATACCGACCGGTCATATTTTCTTGTTTTTCTTAATTTTTTTCTTTTAAGATTAGAATTTAACAACATAAACAAATTTTCTTTGATCGAAAGGGCTTATAAAAGCATATAATATAGGTTGTGGCTCGGGCTTCGAAAGAAATAGGTTCATAATGGCTCAAAAGTGTTTAAAGGTTTTATAATGTAGGATGACTTTGTTGTCCATGTAAATCCCTTTAGGTAATGCTCGCTTAAACTTTGTACTTTAGCCATTAGTTGGGTCGTTTTGTCATCTTGACTTATAAATTTTGTATTAAGGATGTTTTCTTCTTATTTGTTTTTTGCTTTTTTTTTTTTGTTTTTGTTTTTTTTTTCCTTTGAAATCTCTTTTTTTTTTTAGAATCATTGATAAGGTATCTTTTGATCGAAATTTTTTAGAGTTTTATCGATCATTTATGGACTTCGCATTCTACCTCCGGTGTGAGGGGTGATTCTAGTTTGGGTTATTGTCAAAGAAATTATTGAGGCTTAAAGTGGGATAACAAGGGATATGACCTTTTATCGACTTTGCATTCTACCCCTAGATGTTTTTCTTTATTTTTATTTTTTTGTTAATTAATTAATCAAAAGAGTGATGGTTAGGGCTTTACGGGGTAAATTAGAAATTAGTTCCTCTAATTTTATTAAATGAATAAATTAGTATCTACTTTTTTAAAAATAATTATTTAATAATTTTTCCCATTTTATATTTTTTTCTAATTAGTTTTTTCTATTATTATAAGTAAAAAATTATAAAAATAACTAAATATAATGAAAAAATTTGATGAAAAATATTTTTAAAATAAAATAATATTAGATTAAATATGATTAATACTCTTAAATGAACTTAATAATTAATTTTCAAAATAAAAAGGACTCATTAATTCATTTCTTGAAACTAAATGAACTAATTTATAATTTACTTTGGTTTTTTATGACCATTAGTGTGTCGATGTTAATTCTCTTTCAAGGTTTGAACCCACTCGAATAACTAGCCGAATCCCTCTTTCTTTTTCTTTTCATTACTTTCGTGGCTACTTTTGCTACTCATTTTTAAATAAAACTTCAATTTCCCTCTTTTTTTTAAATCCATTTTCTCGTGTTTCTTTAGGGATCAAGATTTCGGTTCCCGACTTTATTTTTCATTCATGAAAAAATTCTTTCTTATTATCCTTATTTATAAGGAAACGAAGGGTTGCATGTTGTATGATGGCAATGACTAAGTCATCGCCATTGTTGGTTTCCGAATAAACCAAAGGTAGAGGGGTTGATGAACCGAATCAAAACGAAAGAGGGAGTAGAAAATTTACCTAAGTCACTTGATCGAAGATGAAGCAATGGCAATTGGGGGGGGGAGGAATAGCCTTCTACTTGCTTTCTCCAACTGTTCTTGGTCCAAACACGAAACCTCGAACCTTTAAAACCCGAATTTCTTCTATAAGAACTCAAAAAAGAACCTAGAAATATCCCTTTGAAACCCGAAATTCAAACCTTCGAATTGCTCATAGTTCTTTTTCTCTCAAATTTCCTTACAAATTCTTCTGTCTAATTTTTAGAATTCCCGCAATTCTCTCATAATTCCTTCTTTTGCCCAAAATTTCCCTCTAATCCTACTTCGCCCATATTTTCCCCCTCCATCCCCCTTTATTTGTTTCCCTAATTCTCTACCTTTTATAGGCAATCTAATAACCTAAGATCCCTTATTGGCTCGAATTGTCCAGTTACAAAGGCCAAAAACCCAGTACTTAATTTTTGGTATCCTATGAACAAACAATTGAAATGGCTTGTGTGTGTGTGTGTTTAGTGAGGTGGGTGGTGTAATAGAGTAGAATGTAGTGTAGTAGAGCAAGGTGGTGAGCGTGATTCTTGGCTAGTACAATTGCCGTGCAAGACTCACAGTAATGAAGCCAAATTTGGAGAATTTTGCCTCCAAGTAAAAGGTCGAAGATAAATCTAGGAATTGTTTCGGATTAGAGCGAACGACGAGCCGTTCTCTCAAACTTGGTCTTATCATTTGCTTTCAAATTTTAATTTAGTCCTTGTGAATTTCAATTGTCTATAATTGTGTCCCTTTGATAGTAATTTTAATCCTCGTGAATTGTAATTTCTCAATTGGATCATGTAAAGTGTGATTTAGGTTCTGAATTTTTGATTGATTCGATTAGATTTCTAATTAACTCAATTATATTTTTGTTGGATTCAATTGTACTCCTAAGTGTATTTAATAATTTTTTTGCATTATATATATATTATTTAATTTAATTTTACTTCTTCTTTTTTCTGGTAAAATCCTAAAATAAAGTAAAAAAATAAATAAATAATAAAACAAGAAACAAATAAAGAACAAAACATGAGGGAAATTTTTAGGTTATGACAAGAAGGACAAATTGTGGTTAAAAAATGGGGCTCTCTTGTTCTAAACAGAAAAAATGTCATCATTGTTTTGTCCTTTTGTCAATTGATGCATGATTCATGTATTGAGACAGCTTCCTCTTCCTCTACATCCAGGACTATTTGCAAGAGATGTACTGTTACACTTTTCTCCCATGCCTGAAAAAGAAGATTCTTAAAGTAAATTAAAACTTCAAAGAAAAGGCTGTCCTTCGTTTTACCGTGTAAATAAACTCAACCATTCTGATACGATCGACTTGTTAAGTGAAAATCAAGTCTGGGCTGCTCAGCATTCGTTGGACACTCGAATCCCTTTGCAACTTTGTTTTATTCGTATTTGAATATGTTGATTCAAGTCCGAGAGCTTGATTTCACTTAATTAGTCAAAACTGGGCCAAATTTTAGATTTTTCTGTAAGAGGCCGAAGATCATTGTGGCAGTAGCTAGATTTTGGTAAATTGGCTTGACTATTTTCAAAATCCGATTTTAAAACAAATTCAGGCCCATTTTGAAAAATTTGAGATCGTTTTTCTACTCATTGTTGATGTGAGTGATTAAAGAATAAAGGAAGGTATTCAACGAAAAAGAAGGAGAGAAGGAATAAAGGAAGATTATGATGTAAAAACTACAGGAAGTTCTCATTAGATCACATAGCAGCTTTAGTAAGCTCACCACTAGTTTAGCAACTAGGGTTATTATTTTCTCCATTTCCTCCCATCTGTCATTCTGATGTTCCAGTGTGCTCGAAAGCTCTGTGAACAGATAAAGAATTTTCTCAACCTGTTGAATAACCCAAAACTATATGATTCAGTATATGCCACACATAAACAATCAGGTCACATCAAGGAAAAAAAAAACCTGGGAGAGGAATTTATTGATGGTTGCTTCTATGCTATCCATGACCTGCACTGCAGTGCTAATAGCCTTGTAGATTGATTCCACGTCTCCCTGTAAGGAATCAAAAAAATCAATTCTCTCTCTCTTATTTATATATAAAGTCCAGCTTTATGGGCGTAAACAAATTAATTAGTAGCTACCTAATTATAAAATACCTTAGCATCATCATCTACAGGGAGTTTGACTGACAATGCTGATAGTTTCCTAGTCACTCTGCCCACTGCTTCGCAATTTTTTCCCTCTAATTTTGCCCATTCATTAAGCAGTTTCATTTGTGGGTTAATAATTTGACACAATTTGACATCGTGCTTGACTTTTCGAATTTGAATTCGCTTTTCTAGAATGATATTTCTCGCATTGACGATTCTAAGGCAAACATGAAATAATTTATCCTGGAAAGCAAGTACAGAAAAAGCTTAGAACATGGAATATATATATATATATATATATATATATACGCTAATCTGGAATTAAAATTGAGCTCCTGAAATGATGATTTCAATAGCAACCTTCAAATGTCAGTTCATAAACAAGAAACGGTATTACCTGACAGCTGTTTTATTGGATTTGACACACCATGAAATTTTTCTAGTGGAGTTTAGAAATTATTTAATCAATCATGCATTTGAATTAAATTAATTAAGAATGAAATAAAAGAGCAAAAAAAATCTAAGTAATGTTTAATAATTTACAAGAAAAATTAAAATTTAAAATATATGTTAGAATTTTAAAATTGTTATGTTGAATTTCTTTTCCATGTCATATATATATATATCCTAGACAGAGCTTTTTTTTTTTTGTTTTTTAGCTACCTAGCTAACTAGATTGTAACCAGTAAATCAGCGAAAACTCACCTCAGCTACTGTCTTCACATAGGACCTAGCAGCATCAGCCCTAGCATTCACAAACCTCCACTGCGACAACCTATTTTGCAAAACCCTAAACCTATGGTATTCCACTTCTTGGATTGGATTCACCTTCTTTTGCCTAAGGTACTTCAAAACACTATTCATAGCACCACCACCACCGTTACTGTTGACCTTCCCTCTCTGATCTCCACCAATCCGTGGTGACGGCTCTGGTGCCGGAAACACAGGAGAGCGTCCAGGTGATAATGCCAATGCTGATTGCGACGACCAGGTTGATGCTGATGACTTTGGCCTCTTAATTGCTGCAGAGCTGTTACGTGGACTTTTACTGCCACGTTGCAAGAACCTAACAAATCCATCTTTACCACCACTCTCTTTCTGTTGACCACTAGGCTTCTTTTGCATGTTTGGTAAAGAAGTGCCAGTGGTATAATTACTTGAAGGGTTTACATTCTCGTTTCTTGATCTTGTAGTTGATTTTGATCGATTATTAACCAATCTTTGGTTCGTGTTTAACGAGCTTGAATTGTTTTCGGCTTCGCTTCTGCTTCGAATAAGGCGCGGTGATGGTGGCGTTGGTGCAGGTGGCTGCCGCCTACGCGTGAGAGGGTATTCCATTTTATTGTTCTTGGCAAGGTTTTGAAGAATAAATATTGATCAATTAAGTTTGGTTAGAGGACTTTGATACTGTATATGTAGAAAGGGAAGACGTGTGAAATTGCATTGTTTTATATAATTTATTAGTGAGTAGTTGATGGCACGTTGAGTTCTCTATGGACTGAAATGAAATGCATGTCAATGGGACCAAGAAAGGGCCTGGGAAATAATTCCTTTCATCCACGAAATTGAAGTCAAGGCTTCCACGATGACTCCCATTTGATTTCTACCAGCATTAGTATTTTAGTATTAGATTGACTTTATAAGCATAAATATATTGTTCGCTGCAGCGCAACGACCATGGATTCTTTTATGGAGATGCTTACTGTCATATCCCAATTTTTTTCCTGTATTTATTTTTATCTATTTTTTTAATTTCTTTTATTTTATTATTTAGTTCATGTTGTTTGTTTAAACAAAAAAATAATAATTAATGAAGATGATAATAATAATAATAATAAGTGCTCTTTATTGATATTAGGATTCAATACCAGAAAAATACAAAAAAAAATTACAAAAATAAAAAATAAAATACAAAAAATATAAATAAAAAAATGAGATGGAGGGACTGTTTCCCTCCATCTTTATACAATTTTCCTCAAGCTGTCGACAAATCCAGCAGCAATTTTCCTACCGCAAGCCTCCAATTATCCCCCGGACAAGCTCGCCTCACCAAGTCAACCTCCAGCAATCTCTACTCCTAACCCTCACAATTGCTTCACCCTGCTATAAATTACCTCCATTGCCAACCTCAGCCATTCCTACACAGCCTCCATCACTAGCAGCAACTTGCAATATCCCAAGTCAACCTCCAGCAGCCCCTACACCTCTTACAACTCCTATGGCACACAATTCAGGTAAACTCCCCTGTAAATTGTCATCCCTACTGCTACAAGCCACAAATAGTAACTTGCAAGCAACTTCCATGGTCTTGACCCAATTGTCAACTCTTCACAATCCTATAATCACCCTTACTGCCAACCATCCCATCCTGCACAAGCAACCTCCACAATCACTTCTACAACCCCTTCTGCCAGTCACACACCACAACCACCTCCTGGACAAACTCCTATCTAGCCTCAACCCTACTACCAGTCACCTTCCTATCCAACCCTCAGACAATTATCTGCAATAATCCCTCACCATTATGGAGGAAAACCAATCAATTCATAATATATTAAACCAGCAGTGAAAACACAAAGGAAAGGGGGAATCAGTTCATCAAAAATTAAAATTAAAATGGGCAGTAAGAAATAAAAATGAGAGAGAGAGAGAGAGCAGTTCTAAAAAAATTTAAGGAAAAAAAAAGGAAACTGAAACTAAAAAAAAAAAAAAGGGTGAAATAGAAAAGGGAGGATTTTACCTAATTTTCGAGAGCAGCAGCAAGTTGGATCACCATTTTTCAAATCCAAATTCCTTGAGGCAATACTCCAAATTCATCTCATCTTAACGTGGAAATTTTCTTTTTTTAAGGATTGACGGTAGTGATGTTCATCACTACTATCTCCGAATTTGACCTCCACACTCACACACATATGTGTTTGTTTAATTGAAAAAAAAATTGAATTTTGAGATTGAAATTTTGAAAAATTTAGGATTTTTGACAATTAGGGTTTTGAATTTGGAGGTTTTTATGTTTGAATTGAAATTGAGGTTAGGGGATTGAAATTAAAGCTAATTGAAGTTATTTGGGTTGTCAATTTAGTGATTAAACCTCAAATTTGAATTGAATTGAACTGAATTGAAACTTAAGATTTATGAGATTTTTAATAATGATAAAATTTAGAAGTTTTCCAGAAATTGATTTCTAAGAGGCTCGAATTAGATTGATCTCAAGAGAAATCAAGCCAATTAAGGCTAATTGAAAGAAAAAAATTAAAAAAAATTGAAACTTAAGGTTTGGCCAAATTAAGAAATTTCTAGTAAAAGAGGAATAAAGGTTTTCTAAAGGAAGATTATAGGAGAGAATGAACCACATAAACCTCTCGGTTCATTCTTCCATAGAAATCCAGGGAGACAAGAGGGAGAAAATGAGATAGATTCGCGAGAGGGAAGAGAGAAAAAGAAAGCAAAAAGGTTTTTGATCCAAAAAAATAAGAGAGAGAGAGAGAGAGAGAGAGGTTTAATTGGTGTTTATGGGTTTGTCTCTAGTTGAGAAGGATGGGAACGGGTTAGCCTTAGCCCAACCCATGTGTGGCTAGGTTGGACTCGGTTTCGATCTAGCTAGTTCAAAAAAAGAAAAAGAAAAAGAAAATCTAGACCGAACTTATTCTAATTCGGCCCTAAAAAAAAAAAAGGAAGGAAAATTTTGACTAGACAGATTCTAGCCCAATCCAATGGGCCGATGACCCATTGACAAAAAAAATCCCAAATGCTTTAATTCCATTTTTTAAAAATAACTCTATCCGTAATGTTTTTATCCCTCTATGTTTATTTCCTATTTAATGTTCTAAATCTTTTGAAATTTATTTTAGTTAACTTTAATTTTAAAATTTTATTTCTAATAATTAGTTTAGGTAATTAATAGGTGGACCATTGTTGAGTCTCCTAATCTTTAGAGAGTGGTGACGATTCTCCTTCGACAAAAAACAAAAAATAAAAATAAAAATGATAAAAAAGGCATATTAATTAATTTTAATTTTAGATTTTTGTTTTTATAATTAGTTTAAATAATTAATAGATTGATGAATTATCGAGTTTCCTAATTTTTTTTAGGAACTAATGACAATCCCCCCCCTCACACACACACACACACACATATAACAAAAAAATGAATGAGAATAAATAGAAGAAAAAAAGTGGAATATTAAGGGGGAAAAAAAGAAAAGGCTAAGAAAAATTAACAAAATCTCCTATCCGATATGGACTTTTGTTAGCCAAAATCATTTTAATCATCAAAGCATTCTCCAACACACCGGTTGTATTGAGACTTAAAGTGGATCCGATATTTGAACTAACAAGTCTTCTAACAAATAGGTTCGACAACCGGTTCAATACGATGCCATGATAAAAAATAAAAAAAACTTAATTTGGCATAGAAAATTGAAATTTAAATCGAAACAATTTGGTACAATTAAAACACCTTAAGAGATAAATTTTAACACTAAACTAGACGAGATACCTTTCTTAGGAAATAACATTTATGGGTGATCAATATCTTCTCAAAAGTATACCAACTACTTACTTTATAATCTCCGATCCAAGTACTATATTTTGATTTCTAGTTCTTACAATACTAGGTGGCAACTTCCAAAACCAATAATAAATCACATCTCTAGAATAAATAAATAAATAACAAATTAAAATAACTATTTTTTTTCAGCAGATTCCGTCCAATGTCGAGTAACAACACCGATCTTTCGTGCTCGTGCTCATACATGGAACATTTAATTTTGCTTTCTAATGGCAATTTTCGTGTGTTATCAGCACAAAATTATTTTTTCAGTTTGTAGAGTATTTTTTTCTGATGATAAGGATATTTTATAGACTAGTTAATTTACACGTAAATAAGGATTAAGGTGTTTTTTTAAAAAAAATAATAATACTAATAGTACATTTTCTATGTCATTCTGGTACATTAAAAAATGAATTAAAAAATTAAAAAAATAAACAAATTTTAAACTTCTTTAATCACAACACTAATCCCACAAGATTTAATTGGTATAATATGAAATTGGGTTTATAAGCTGTGTACTCATCCATTGTTAGCTATATTGTCATGAGCTGGAAGGAAAAGAATTTTTTTTTTTTTTAACTGGAGGTCAAGAATCTCATATATTGGCGCGTCGAGGAAGCTTGAAAGATGCCTTAGGATAAGAGAAAGATAATTAAGATTGAAAATGGATATGGATGTAAAATTTATTATCTGACTACAGTTATAATTCGATTAAACCACTCACAAAATTTTGAGGTATCATATACGTACCGGCAGCTAACTAAAGCAATGAAGTTCAAAAACTAACCATTAAAATCAGTAATAAACATACTAGTTTCTAAATGATTTTTTTTTTTATCAATATACGGAATTCAAATTCCGAAATCGTATTTATTAGAAAAAGTTAAATTTAGAACTTTTGTCTCAAATAAAATTAGTTTTATATCTAATATGCGATGAGAGGACATGGAAAAAACAGGGAAAAAAAAACCAGTAAAATTGTGTTTTCCATGTAAAAGAATTTCAAAATGAGGATTTATAAGCTTAGTATATCTGTTTAAATCATTCTTAAAAGCGGTGTTAGAATCTTAATTACATCATTTTCATTCTGGTAGCAGTGAGTGGAATGGAAATTTAGAAATCCAAGAGGACAAGGATGAGAGCTGCTAGTCCTTTTCTAGCTCAAGCTTATTAAGCCTTTCATTATATCAAAAGGTAAAAACTTCAAATTTCATTGAAAGTCAAGCAAATGACCAGTACTCTTTTTGCACTTTACGAACTTATCATTTCCAATTTGCCAAATCCATACTGTGATGGACAAAGTTTAACGACGAAAAAATAAATGTCAGAAAATATCAGGTGTTTTTGGTGTTTGACCAATCAAAATCTTTTCCAAGGGCATTTCTAGGTTTCGGTACAAAAATCTGCTGATTTCATTTAAACTAGCAGAAGTGCCCACGCATTCTCATGGGTACTTTTTTTTTTTTTTTTATCTCCCATCATTTTATAATCTAATATCTTTTGACTAAAGGCTTTAAAAAAAAAAAAAAACCATCCTATAGATTGATCATTCATATGCATAATTTTTTAGAAATCGAAGCAAAATTTATACTATTGAAAATTTCAATTCAATGCTAAAAAGCTATTTTACCAAATAAAGGGAAATTACCCAATATAAAATAATAAGGTCACTGATAATAGAACTTAAAATCACTTTAGATAAAAAATAATAATAATAATAAACAATGAGATTTATCGAAATAAAAGATACATGAATTCAAATATGCACATGCATTCCGTAAAGATGGCGAAGATTGAGGCGCTGTATACTTTTAAAAAATCAAATTAAAAAAAGCAGAACAAAAAATTAAAATATATTTTTTTTTATTGTTTTTGCTCATTTTCCAAACGAAATATATCAGTTTTTATTTCTTTTTCAATCGAGTATATAAATTTTAAAATTTTCATTTGAATACATTATTTAAAAAAAATATATATAATTCAACTATGTTCTTTACAATTTCTATCAATTGATCTATTCATCTAATTACATGGCACTAGCTTAAAACTATTAAATTATGATTTTGCATACTTTTCTTTCCAAATTATTTTATTATTTTTTAATAATAAATGCTCAAATTATTCTTATATCCAAAAGGTAGAACATGACAAAATAATTCAGAAAAAAAATTCCTCTAAAAATGAAATTGTAAAATTATAATTTAGTAATTTGAAGTAAATGACATGTCTTCACATAAAAAAGCAATTGATAGAAGTTACATAGAAATACCTGATTGACAATTTTTTTTTAAAAAAAAAACCTTATGCTTAAGTTATAAAACATTAAAAATTAAAGTACTTATAATATAATCATCTTTTTTTCCAAACGGCCGTTGCTGCAACATTGGATGTGGTGCTTGCTGCATAAAAGAAGAAGAAGATTTTGATATGGGTTTTGATTGTTTTGACTTTCTTCTCCATCTAATGAAACATGATTTTTTTTTTTTTTTACCTGTACACTTTTCTATTGGTAAGTGAAAGATAAAAGTAAATTTTTAATGTTTTAATTATATATTGTTTTGAACATGTTATCGGCTAAATTTTTACCAATGGAAAAAAATTGTCACTAATTATTGGATTATTAATTTTTGCCATGTTCATATGCATTTCATACTTTTCTTACTTATAATCTTTAATGAGATTCAATTTACCATTTAATATGAGAAATTAAAAATATGATAGTTTTGATTCACTTTTTAATTGTTTATAATCTCTTCTAATTTTCTTTCTAATTTTGAAACTTATGAATAGGATTGATTGTTCATTAATTGAAATAGTAGAGTTTTTGTAGAAAATAATGAGAGTTGTTTAGAATTGATATCACTTGTATTCATTTTTTTCATAATGAAACCATTTTTCTATCATTTTTTTCTTCAATTCTTTTATTATTATTATTATTATTCAATAACTTTTTAATTGTTAAGTAAATATTTTTAATCCCATTTCGTTGAGGAAACTTTAATAAGTGTGTGTATCAGGTTTTTTCTATTGGTGAAAACCATCACAATTCTTCTAAAAACATTAAATAAAAAAATCCATTGAGAATCTGTTAATAAATTCTAACCAAAAACTTCCACGTGATTTCCCTCAATTTAATAATTACTTACTTTCTAGTAATGGAAAAGACAAAAACTTTACTTATATATTAAAATTTGCTGCTCAAACAAAATTTATCGAAGCAATTTTTTTTTTTTTTTTTCTGGAATGCTTTCATGGATGTAACCTAAACAGGTTTGTAGCCTAATAAATATTATTGGAAAAAGTGCATATAAGTTCATTTTTGAGAGACAAATCACTAATAAGTTCACTTTTATGATTTATTTTTAAATAAAGTTCATATTTAATTGTATGCTTCCTATATTATCATATTTAAAAAGTTGCCATTCATTTTATTTTTATTCCTTTTCTTTGCTTTTAGTTTTCTTAAAAAATATATATATTTCATAATAATCTTTTTGAATGTCTAATTTTTCTTACTTGTTAAATAGTTTATAGTTGTGACCTAATCTTGATTATATTAAAATGAAATCACAATTGTAAAAGTGGAAAATATATAATTCTTCATATTTGTAAATCTTTTCTTTAAAAATAAAAAGTTGAATGATCATTAGGATAGTGATGTGCTTTAAACCTTTTCTAAGAAGTACTACAACTGTTAACAAGATGAAAATTGTATGATAATAAATCTTTTATTTCTTTAAAAAAATTGTAATAAATGCCTTAAATGAAAAATCCAAAAAAAAAAAAATTACGTGAAATAGTTATATAATAAAACTTGTTGTGAAGTTTTTTCTTTGAAAAAAATAGATAAATGATAAATTTTTAAATGTATTATTTTTAGGGTTTTATAGTGTGTGTGTGTATAACTTGTTGTAAAGTTTTTTCTTCGAAAAAAAATAGATAAATGATAAATTTTTAATTGTATTATTTTTAGGGTTATATATATATATATATATATATATATATATATATTACTCGTTAAGGATAGTTAATGATTGTAACTATCGTTGGCTTGCAAAATTTACAAAATGATGCATTTTATGAGCGGACAAGACTAAACAAAATTTGACGATGGGATATAAGACTATTAATTCCATGATTAGAGGTGAAACGGAAATCAGCGGATGTGCAAAACAAGAAACAACATTTTGTGTTTTCTTCCATATGTCCATCAACTGGTAATGGAATTATGAAGTTGTTTTTCTTTTTTGTAGGTTTCACTTGGGGGGGGGGGGGGGGGGGGGGGGTGGTGGGTTGGGGTTGGGGGTGTACGTACACACACCAAACCCTACCAAAAGCTCCATTCAACTAGCCATGAATTCCAAAGTTGGATAAAAACCAAATGTCTTTGGCTCACTGGGTTATTAGAACATCAGATTGATTGTCTACTGGTTTGAACTAGGCCCTAAAACAGCGGGTGAAAAAGAATTTGCCCTTGACGGTTCTGATTTGGACAAAACCACAGCAAACAAACACCTCCAATTAATAATGAAAGATACAGAGCCACCAAATTTTGAACATGTGTCAAATATGCATTTAAGAACTAACCGAAGTTGGCTGTTGCTCTTTAGTGTATCCATCGCAAATAAGAGGCTCATTCTGGATTTAATGCCTTAGGCAAATTACTCAACTTGCAATTTTTTATTTTTTTGAACATGTAATGTTTATCCATATACCAAGATAGAGTTCATCCTAGGCTAATACTATTTGTCTGATCACATAGGACCTCCAGACCGAACCGCCATGACACTGCAAAAGGTTAATTAGTTGCCAATGACTCTACAATATGTTGTAGCACTTTTTATTGTGTTCACGTACATTAGCCTCCCCAAATTATTAGATTGATAATTTCAATAGGGTTGAAGATTTTCTGGCTAAGACCCCGCAACTTCTCTTTTCAAAATAATAATAATAAATAAAATAAAACAATAAACTTCACCCATTTGAAGACTTAAATTACGGCTGAGAAAAAAATTTTGGTTTTTTTTCCCCTTCGAATATATTTCAGGAAAGAAAAGAAAAGGCAAATTTCAATTGCAATTGTATTGGCTATCTGAATAGGTTGACCATGTATGTTTATGTATTTCATGCTCCAAGAACCAAAGCTCTAAAATTAAAGATGAACAACGTAGAGAAGATAAGAAGGATCGCTTCTTGACTTCTTCACCAACCGTACACACTAGATAAAAGCAGTGATGACAGGTAGAAGCTAAATCCCACATCCAAACAAGAACAAAAAGTCCTCAATGGACTTTCTCTTTCTCTCTCTCTCTCCATAATTTTTATAGAGAGTGAAATTAGGGGAAACAGTTAGCTAAAAACAGCTGGATAGAGAACAAAAACAAGGGTACCTTCATTGTAACTTCTTTATATGAAACCCCTATGCAACCAAGATAACCCTTAACCTTCAATGAAATTTAATGAGAATAAATTCTTTGCTGCTTTTAAAGATGCAACAAATTTGGGATTTTTATGGTAAACAACATTTTTTACCCGAAAAAAAACGAGGGAGCGAAATTAAGCAAAGCTCTCGGCTATGGACTAAGGACATAAATCATCAGTACGTAACTTAATTTTTCCAAGCAGAAGAAGAAGAAGAGATAATAAAATACGGAATACATATAAATAACATTTTTGTTTAAAAAAGAAGATAATATTAATAAACAACATTCGATTTCCAAACATATAAACTAACACATAAAAACCATGAAAGTTTCATCTCTAAACTGTGTCATTGCACTAAGATAAAGTAATGTAATTAGTTCTTTCATGCATCGATCATCACTTCCTCTGCTTTGGAGATCATATCTTTACACTAAGATTAGACGATGTTGACACCTCAAACGTCACTAACTTCACCATCATCATGAGTACCTTCAGGAGCTGGTAAATTGAGATCTAACAAATCATTAGAAATTTTAGCATTAGTCACAGGCAAGTAAGAGAAATGCACTTTCTTGTGTCCACCGAATGCTTGGCCAGAATCAAACGCTTTTTCACAAAATGGGCACTTAAAAATTCTTTGCCCATTGTTATCGCCACAGCCTCTACCACTGTCTTCTTCATCCTCTTCATTTATTTTCATTTTCTTATGACTAGCTCTATGCCCACCTAAAGCTTGATAAGATCGGAATCCCTTTTTACAGGTTTCACATTTATATTTTCCTTGAGATTTGTATTTGGCATGAGTGTTGACACTGAACAAATCATCCTCTTCCTCGTTTTCGCTCTCAACCTTATCCACGTAATGATGGTCCTCTATGTATTCACGCACTTCTTTTTTAATTTGTTTAGCATCTTCTGGCCATTTATCCCTTGAAAGCATCAAAAGACACAAAGCAACATCTTCCTCAGCAATTATATAAGCTATGGAACTTACCTGCTCCGATGACTCGGTCACTTTCGCTATTGATTCAATCACTTTATCAGCTGATTTACGGCTCCTTTTGGATCTTCTCCGAGTGGGTTTCCTTGTTGACTCCGCCTCACTTTCTCCAATATCACAAGGAGTAGCTAGATTAGTTTTTGAAACAGTGGAGACTTCCTGTTTCATAGATCGAGAGGAATATTGCATGGGCTTATCACTTAGTAAATCGTAGTTTAACGAAGAAGATGATGGTAGTGTTTTTTGTTGAGAGTTGTAAGTTTCTTGGGGTGGGATTGGTTTTGGAGGAAGGGGTAGTTTAGCTAGGTGAGATCTCATATGGCCACCCATGGCTTTGCCATTAGCAAACCGTCTGTTGCAGATCTTGCAGATTCGCGTTTTCTCCATTGAAGACGATGATAAGCAAACAAAGGCTTACACTTTGCTTCTCTCTATATATCACTCAAGGAAGGTTAGGGTATATCTGCTACTAGTGCAGAGAGTTAAAAAGAGTAGGTGACTAGCGTTCATATATAAAAGGCGAAAAAGGAGAAGATACAGAAGTGATTCTGATGACACTTACCAAAATTTTATTAAAAGTGGAATACTAAAAAAATAGATTTTTTAAATATATTTTTCAAAAGAAAAAAAAATAATTTAAATGTTTTACTTTTTACCAAGCAGTTATAATTTATACCAACCCCCTTTTATATTGTATATAAAAATTAAATAATGCTATTTATCTCAAAATATTTGCCTAATGAGTTTTTCGGAAAATCAAAACCACTTAATTGTTAATAATGCATCTTTCATGCAATCTACCTGTGAGAGAGATCCGCCTTGTTAATGCTTGATATTATATATATGAGAAACTAAAAAAAAAGTTGTGACGAAGTAGCACAGTTGATTTAATTTGAGAATAAAAGCTTATATATATAATCATGTGCCAATTTTAATATAGAAAATTAATAATTAATACTCTAGCCATCTCTCTCTTTCTTCTTGATTCTTTTTATATATGTGTGTGTTAATTTTTTATTGGCGAAAACCCTTCATCTTCTTTTTTTCTTTTGTTTTGTTTTATTTTTCCTTTTAGTGTGTTAAAAATTTAAATCTAAATCTTAAATGTAGATGTTATTTGTGTACAAAGTTCTTATTTTGTTAGGTTGTTTTGTTTTTGAAATAAAATTTTAATATCTCTTTACTAGGTTGTAATGGATGTTCTTTTTATTAGTTGAAAGAGATTGATGGTCTTAATTTGATAATTTTACATGGTTAAGATTTTCCATCACGAGACCCTGCTAGTGTTGTCCATTCTTCTATTGATTTATGATGACACTAAACTTGAATGTGTATGTTTCGTGCAAAAAAAAGTCTCATCTTGGGAAGTTTTCATCTTTAGTAATTTTTTATTAACGTCTATGAAAAAACTATTTGCTACTTGAAAGATTATATTCATTATTATTGTAAAATGGTTTTGTTTAATTTTTTTCTTAGTTTTTTTATTCATTATGCCACAAAAATAATAAGGTATTTATTTGATTTATATCATCAATGAAATTGCTATCTTTTACCATAAAATAATAATAATAATAATAATATAAACAATTTTCTCCAAATCAATTAAAATACCATTTTAACATTGACCCTAAGAATGTAAAAAAATTAAAACTATATTATTCAACTATTAGTAATGCTAATCATCATTATGATTGATCTTCTTGCCAATTACTCTAATTACATATGAGTATTCACCATACCAAATGGCAGTAAAATCTTTCTTTCTTTTTTTAACTACTTACTTAATTTGATTAAAATACAGAGAATTACTTGCTTTTTTTTTTTTTTCAAGTAAGATATTTATTTTAATTTTCCATATATAAATGTCTCACGAGGCATCCACGTCTAGCAAACCAATTATAACATGCCACGAAAATCTTAAATATACACGTAATTTTATTGAATTCACACGGACTTAATTACTTACAAATGAGTTATCTTGAGAAAGAAAATTCTTTGTTGTTTTATGGAACAATTATCGGTATCTAATAATTAAAATTTTGAACTAATCCAAGCATATACACCATCCGTATGCAAATAAGTATCATTTAAAATTGAACTTTTTTTTAAACAATGATATCCAAACCAATTGGCTTAACAAAGATACAAGCAAAATGCCTTGTTAATTAGTGTGTACCAAACAACTCTTGGACCAAAGTTCACAAATGTGGTCTAAATATGAATTATTTACAACTAAAAATATTGAAAATCAAACATGCTTATGATCCAAACAACTCAAAGAAACATTCTAACGAAAACTAATATATCAATATCAAATAAGCCCCGCATAAATAGTTATATAACAAGACCTTTAAAGTGTCCTTATCACTTGTAAAAATTTGCTGCATGTTGATATAAATGAACATCAAATGTCCTCTTTAATTCTCATTTCAATTTGTGTCGTTTTTAACTCTCATCTCAATTTGTTTTAAAGAACATGAGGAGACCTAGTTTGACTTTATAACCAATTTCATCTATGTTAAAATGCAAATTGATATGTTTTTGCTAGTGTCAAGTGGAGGATCATTCAAGGTTTCATGGTAATTGGAGCATATATTTGTAGTTTTATAGACTATAAGTAGTGAAATTGGATCTATCATTGGAGAGAGATTTCGATACATTATAGCAATATTAATATTGTTTCTCCTATAATAGTATATAAGATTTGGTAGCGTAGGTCATTTCTCTATTGACAAGTCATGACAAGAGATTTTTAAGATAGAGATATGTCAAAAAAAAAAAAAAGACTTATTACAAACATTTGAAAAGGATAAAAAATTCATTTGACGATCTATGAAAGAAAAAAGACAAGATGGTTCTTGAAAAGCTATTGTTATTGTTAAGAGTTATTGAGTCATTTTTCATTTGATAACAATCAACTTGCCTTCTTAATTTTTCTTTTTTGTGACCATATAAATGACTTGTATTATTTTTATTATAAAATTTTTTATATATTTTTTAAATAATCTGTCAATAGATTAAAAAAAGATTAAGATACAACAAATTTATTTATGGAAGTTTAAAAAAAAAAAATACATCTCGGTCGCATTGCATCTTTAATGTTTCATTTTATCTCTCAAACACATTGTAAATGTTGAATTTAATTAGACTAATGTTCATTTGAATTTGAAAAAGAGATAAAGTCTGTTGATAAAATCATGTGATAATTAAGTTAATCAAGAATAAGTTTTTACAATTGCATCGGATAATGTTGAAAACATTTAAAACTATCAAATTGCCTCTTTTTTTGTGTTTTCTCTTTTTCTTCCTCCTTTCCTTGTTCTTAGCCTTGTATTAGAGATCATATATTTGATTTGATCTCTTTAATATTACCTTGTTTTCCTTTTTTCTTTCTTTTTCTTCATTTTTGTTCTCTTTTTCAACTAGCCATGTATTTTTTTTAAAAAAAAACTTAACATGGAGAGTTTGAGGAGGTGTTTTGTAACAATGATCAATATTAGGTTTGATATTTTCATGGATTTATGGTCATAGTGTAGTGTTACTTTGGTTAAGTTCATTAGATTATAATTATGTTATATGGAGTTTTAGGTGGTGGTTGTGTTACCATTAATTTGAGAGTGGGGTGTGGTTTTTGGTGATGGTTATTAAGATGATCTTTAACGAGTGTAGATTATGGAGGTGAGGTTAGCTTTGATGTTTTTTCTTTAAAGTTCTAAGTTGTCTTGATTTGGATGGTGTTGTTAAAGTGAGGTAGTTAGTTGGCCTTAGTTGATAGTTGGGAGCTTGACATAAATATTACGGGTGATGACAAAGGCTCAAAGTGTTTGTAGGAATTGTTTTGATAGTGATATTGATCTGGTGATCAAGAAATTTTTTCTAAAAAATAGTGAAGGCAAGTGATGTTAGTGTAGGTGCCCAAGATCTAATCTTGATTAGATGGTTTGAGTTATTGTAACGTTGCTTTATTTATATTATTAATAAAAAATATTTCTATTAATTCTTATCATTGACTTTTATTTATTGAATAGAATTAAATGGAAGTCCATATGCATTTGTCTTGATGATTGATCGAAAGATATGAGACAAACATTAATGCACTTAAATGATATCGTTAAATATCTCAAATTAGAGCATTGTTAAGAATAGACATTAACTATATATAGTTAGACTTGTAAGTGCTATGCTCATGTTATATGATAACGAGTAGGAGATCTCACTCTTATTGACAAGGTCATGCAAAAGCATTTACTTACATGATTTATGTTAAAAAAACATATTACTTGGACTTGACTCATCATGAGAATCCATTTAGTTTTATCTATGGAAATCTCATATGAGATAGGTATAACTAGTCCTTTGACTTGAAGTCATCATGGTTATCTCATTGAAAGATTTATGCACTTTAACACTCATTTTGATGGACCTAGTAAAGGGTTGTACTTGGGTAATTTGTTGGGTGCACTAGAAATCTAATGGAGGTAGATTGATGACTAAGATAGGATATGTCATTCCTTGTATGGTAAAGTAATTATCGGATTGCACTTTGATGAATGTCTACTCGGGAAATCTATGGCCTCGGTAGGAGTACACCAATAGAGTATAGTTGGTTTACTCTAAGAGCTAATACATTTAAGAATTTTATAAAAATTGTGTGATCATAATCGAATAGACTAATGACCAAGTTTAAGATCACACTCGTGATAAATTAACATAAAAGCTGAATTATATGATAACTATGCTCGTGAAAGGTAATTAGAGATTAATTAATCCTCCTAGAGAATTGGGTAATCATGATGCCTTGCTAGATGTCAATCTTGATTTATATATCAAGAGATAAAAGAGGTTTTATTTATTCTTGATACATTGTCAACATATCTAAGAGCCAATTAAGTCACATGTATAATTTTAAGCATTCACATAATAAAAGAGAAGTAATGATTTTGGAAAAGGTTTTCAATTTAAAAGTTTCTTATTTTAGAAAAAATTTTCAAAAATGAAAAGTTTTCTATTTTAGAAATAAGTTTCCTAATTTGGAAGTCGGTTCCAAGTTGGAAAGTAAATTACCTAAAAAGAAAATTATTTTTCTAATTTAGATTTAAGGGTAATTTGAAAAATTGTTTCCGAATATAGGCCTCCTGAAAATATCTAACCTAATTTATTTGGATAGTCCAAATTAATTAGCTATTAATTAGTTGAAAATAGTTTAAGCCGATAGGCTTAATTTAAAAGCTTGAAAGATATTTTTATGGGAGGATAAACATGAGCCTTATTGGATAAGGATCAAGGTTTAAAAGGATAAGATCAAAAAGTTCACATGTATAATAACTCCTAATCTTTTAAGGATTATGAACAACAACCTAGAGTCCACATGGGACAAGTTATCGCTACTCCTTTGTCTTTAGAGGACAAGGAAGCCTCTCCCTCTATAAATAAAAGAAGAGGTGCAACAAAGAATGGAATGTAAGCTAGGGCTATATGGCACAAGTGAAATATGAGAGAAAATAGTTTTCTCCCTTCCTTAAAACACACCACCTCTCTCTTCTCAATTAGGGTTATTGTAAAATTATCCTTGAATAGATTTCTAAAGAAAAAATATTAAACAAGTCAGAAAAGGTGGAGCTAGTACTTTACTAATTTTGGGTATTTCTTGTGTAATGCTTGGACTGCATGGATTATCGATAGAGGCTAGACGCTTGGATGACTTTTTTCTCGCTAAGATTAAAATCTAAGCTACAAGGGATAATCCTTGACTTATGCTTTAATTCATATATATATATATGATTAGTTGATTCAACAACATGATCTTAAGAACTTTAGATGGAGGAAATTTTTTGTTTTATTCCATACCTCCATAGGATGCATAATCCTTCAAGTAATAACAATAGTGGTAAAAATTTTAATGTGACGTACTATCGTGTGTCAAATATTAGGCAACGATTTTAAATCTGTTGCTAATATAAATGAATGGTAATGATTTGAAGAATCATGCATCCTGTGAAGGTGCGGAATAAATAAAAATTTTCCTCAATCTAAAGGGCCTAAAATCATGCCATTAGATCAACTAACTAACTAACTACACACACACACACACATACAAAAGAATTAAAGTAATGTATAGAAAATTACGTCTTGTAGTGTAAATCTAATTTTTTTAGCGGAAAAGCCGTCCAAATGTTCAGCCTTTATTGATGATCCATATAATCCAAGCACTCACAAAAGAAGTACTCAAAATTAGTAGAGTGTTAGCTTTACTTTTTTCTTATTTATGTAGTGTTTTCTATAGAAATCTAATCCGTTCAATTTTGTAACAACCCAAAAGAAAAGGGAGAGAGGGTGACATGTTAGGGTTTTTAGGAAAAATTATTTTTCCATTTTTTTCTTTCTTGGCCTCGTGCCTTCACCCTTTTTTCTTTGTTGGCCGAATTCTTTCTCTCTCTCTAAAAATTCTCTTTATGCTGCACCTCTCCTCTTATTTATAGAGGGAGAGTTTCCTTATCCTCCAAGGATAAGGAAAGGGGCGACAAATAAGTCCTAATTGGACTTATAGTTGTTGCTTCATAATTCTCTAAGGATTAAGAGTTATTTTACATGTGGGCTTTTGATCTTTATCTTTAAAACATTCATCCTTATCTAATAAGGTTGATATTTATCCTCCCACCAAAATATCTTAAGGCTTTTTTAATTAAACCTAATAGGCCAAAACCATTACGTACCAATTAATAAATAATCTTTGATAATTTTAAGTCTGCTCACATCGGAAACAAATTCTCAAAATACCCTTAACCTAAATTATGAAGCTTATTTTCATTTTAGGTTATTTACTTTCAAATTTAGAATCAACTTTCAAATTAGGAAACTGATTTCTAAAATAAGAAACTTTTCATTTTAGGAAACTTCCATTTAAAGAAACTTTTCATTTTAGGAAACCTTTTCCAAAATAGGAAACTTTTAGAATTAGAAATTTTTTTCCAATATCTTTACTTCTCTTTAATCATGTGAATGCTTAAACTTATATGTGTGATTCAATAAGCTCCTAGATATATTGGTAATGTATCAAAAACAAAAAACTATTCTTTTATCTCTTGATATATAATCAAGATTGGCCTCTAACAAGGCATCATGACTATCCAATTCTCTAGGAGGATTAATTAATCCATTATTACCTTTCACAAGCATAATTACCATATAATTCAGTCCTCATGTTAACTTATCACAGGTGTGATCTCAAACTTGGTTTTAAGTCTTATTCGATTATGATCACATAAGTGTTCTTCAATTCTCAAATGTCTTAGCTCTTAGAGTAAACCAACTATGCTTTATTGGTGTACTCCTACTATAGTTATAGATTTCTCAAGCGGACATTCATCGAAATGCAATGTGATAACTCCTTTAGCATATAAGGAATGACATCTTAGTTATACACCTACCTCTATTAGATTCCTAGTACACCCAACGAATCGTTCACATGCAATCATTTACTAGGTTTATCGAAATGAGTGTTCAAATGTATAAATCCTCTAATGAGATAACCATGATGAGTTCAAGTCTAAGGATCGGTTATAACCATCTCGTATGAGATCCCTATAGATTAAACCAAATGGATTCTCATGACGAGTCAAGTCTAGTGATATGTTCTTTAACATAAATCACCTAAGTGCTTGCTTTGACATCACCATGCCGATAGATGCTAGATCTCCTATTACTATCATATAGCATAAGCATAACACTCATAAGTCTATCCGCATATAGTTAACGTCCATTCTTGACAATGCTACGACTTGAGACGTTTAATAATATCATTTATATGCATTAGTGTTTGTCTCATATTTTTTGATCAATCACTATTATAAATGCATATCATAAAGACTTCTATCTAGTTCTACTCGAATTAATAAACATAAAACACAAGAATTAATAGAAAGATTTTTTTATTATTATTAAAATAAATGATGTAATAATATAATAACTCAAACACATCCAAACATGGTTGGATATTGGGCACTTACACTAACAGCGTGGATAATCAATGGAGGTCGGACATTTGAATGACATCTTTCCACATAGATTGTTTACGCGCTACAAGAGATAAGCACTTGCTTTAATTATATCTTCATGTTAATGTATGATTAATAGATTTAATGGCATGATCTTGGGAACCCTAGATGGAGGAATTTTTTTTATTTATTATGCACCTCCGTAAGATGCATGATCCTTCAACCGACCTTTACATGGTCCATGACATATCAAATTTGTTGGCATATTTTAATTTTATACTTACATAAAAGGTGGGCTAGCTTATTGCTAGCTTCATCATTGATCAATTATTCCTTAAGAGCTTTTAAGCAAAAATGAAAAGGTAAAATATATTCATGTGTCCTTATATAATAATCAAAGATTTCTATTTATCCTTAAATTTCTAATTATATCGCTTTTATCTTTGAATTGTTATTAAATATTCAATTTGTCTTTTCGATCAAATTTTTTGACCATGGATAATTTTTTTCTACTAAAAATGCCCTTTGCTAAAATGCTAACACACACACACACACACACACACACACACACTTAAAATCACATGATCTGCGTACTTCATATTTTAAGTTTTTAGAATTTTATTTAATTTAATATTTTTTTTTAACATTTCAATCGGATGCATTTTAGTTAAATTTTTTTTGTAATGATTGAAAAAATTGATCGGAATGACATATTGAACATTTCAAACACTTTCATTGATAAATAAGATGCAATTAAAAACTTAAGAATATATAAGAGATTTTGAGTATTATATAAAGATAGATGTTTATATTTATCCAAAATAAAACTAATATTTTATAACAATCGCCCTAACTCTCGAATTATTAATAAAATAAAATAAAATAATAAAAAATCCTAAATATCACATATCCCACTAAAAACTCCATAAATCAAATATCATGCATAAAATACATGATCATAATTAAACATTTATCTTTTTTGTTAAACATGAAAAAGAAAACAAGGATCCCAAATTAAATTTCTATTCAATCAAGTCTAGTTCAACTAATTTGATTAGAAAAATAGTTAAAATCTTACATATTTGCATGAGAAATAGTAAAATTCATTAACTACAATATATATTGAAGGAACATTTAAAATATTAATAAATTTTAAATCAAAAGTCGAAAGAACATTAGTACACATCAATTGAAAAACAGGTAGTGTATATAGAGTGTGAAGATAAACGATGCTTATGTGTAAAACACATGTAATGTATTGGTCAAGTATATTAAAAACTACTAGCACACGTTTGGTTAATTGTGAAATTTGTCTGATTACTCAAGATAGAGCTCATCAATTCGATTCTGATAGTGTATTGCTTGGGAGTGATAGAGCTTAGGTGGTGGTTGGCTGGAGAAAGTTCTTTCTTTTTTCCTGTACTAGAGTTTTGGGTTTTTGTCATCTTTAAGTGTGAAATAGGTTGTGTATATAGAGTGTGCAACGAGCTTGGTTTTTAGAATTATTTTATTTATTTATTTTTTAAGAATAGCCTGCAAACCTTTGACTTAGGCCTGCAAAGCCCACTCGAGCCTATATATGAGGTCTCGTGCATTGGATATGGTCAGGCCCTTTTTTTTTTTTTAATTTAATTTTGTTTTTAGGGAAAAAAGTAGGTTGGTATATACACAAAGATATGTTATATCATGTTATAAGAAATAAAAAATCAATTGTAAATTATAATAAGTGAGAGGCCACCTCTCAATCTTACAAGTCACTGTTCTACAAGTAATCTGCCATCAGCACAAGCAAAATATCTACATAAATATATAGAAAATGAGCACTTGATTATGATTACGATTACGTTAAAAATATTTTATGTTGTCTAGACAACAAACTACACAGCAGCCCAGCCCCTAACGGATCCACTAACTCTAGATCAAAAGCTCGAACACCCTACACCCGCGTTACGCACTACAAATCCTTCTTCCCGCCATAAAACCCTCAGCTTCTCTCTTTCTCCTACACTCTCTAATTACTTCTTTATTTTATGCTTCATCCAATATATATATATATATATATATATATATATAGTCTCTTACTCTTAAATTTCTGGGCTCTCTTGTTCTTTCACTCGCAAAGAGATTTAAAAGAACTCCAGATCATCAGAGCCGGCCATGGATAATTCTAGGGTTTTGGGGGATAATAACATCCCTATCACTTTTCGGTCTGGGGTGGGTACCATTTCCAGGATCCGATTAGAGAACTTCATGTGCCATGATAATCTACAAGTTGAGTTTGATCAGTGGGTCAATTTTATCACTGGTCGAAACGGCAGTAAGTACTCCGAAACCCTAATGCAGTGCTTTCAAGTTTTTGTTTAATTTCTTTGTTAATTTGTTCATTAATTGAGTTTCTTAGTTGTTTTGTTTGATTTTGGTGATGACATACGTGCAATTTTGTGAATTTGATAGGGGAAGTATGAAACTCATGAGCGCATTATTTAATTAACTTTTTTCGTTCTGTTTTTGGGGTGTTGGTGGTTATATAGGCGGCAAAAGTGCAATATTGACTGCTTTATGTATTGCATTTGGGTGCCGGGCTAAAGGAACTCAAAGGGCCGCCACATTGAAGGATTTTATTAAAACTGGTTGCAGGTTTGTGTTGTTTTGTCTGCTTACTAATTGTTTTTCCAAAGAAATCAACTGTTGCGGGTTTTATAAGTTGTTTGTATAGAACGTGTGAAACTGTTCTTCTTTCTCTGACCATGTAATGTTTTGATGGAGAGTCAAAAAAGAGGCTGAGAGCTGAAACTACAATTTGGAATGCTAATGAAAATCCTGAAACTTCAGAGCTGTATACTTGGTGGCTGTGTGTTTTGCATTATGAACATTACTAGTTGTTATTATAATTGGAGTGATATTAGGTGGTTTATAGCTATTAGATTGTCAATTATTTCTTTAATGAAACCGTGTGTTTATGTAAGCTTATGTTTATCTGATGTTGTTTCTTTGCAGTTATGCTGTTGTTGAAGTGGAAGTTAGAAACCGAGGGGAGGAGTCTTTTAAGCCAGATATCTATGGGGATTCCATAATAATAGAACGCAGAATCAACCAATCTGCCAGTACCACTGTTCTAAAGGATCACCAAGGTCTAAATGATTTTCTGATAAACCTCTCTTTAATTCATTCTAAAAGCCTTGAGTTCCTTATGATTTTGATGAAATACGTAAATAATGAAAAAGCTATTAAGGCCCCTAGGTCGAATGGGCTGCATTTGAATGAATTACTGTTGAATGTATCTGCATTTGAATCCATGATATGCCTCTTCCAAACAATTGGACTTTTCTCTGATGAGAGATATGTGTGTTCTTTATATATATTTGTTTTATTTTGATTCTAATATCTATTATAAGTATTTGATATGGCATTCTGGGACTATACATTGAAGTGATTGATGTAGTTTTTGAACATTTTGGTCATTTTAATTTAGTCTGGATGCGGGTCTATGTTACATGTTGATGCAGGAGCTTTCTTTACAATTTTTTTTTTTTAATTTCTGAAATTAAGGTTATTTAATTAATTAAGAGTCATGTGATTTGCGTGTGACCTTTTAAAATATTTCCTTGGAGGTTAAGTTTCTGAACCTTAAACCCTATTATCTTGTTTCAGCATCATCTCTCTTCTAGTTTTAGCCACAGTTCTCCTGCAATTTCTGTTTTCTACATGTCCTCTGCTTGTTTCCCGTAGATTACCCTTCTCATATAGGTATGGCATTTGGGTTGATGTGGATTTGAACTGAATTGCTGATATAAATGTTGAGAAACATGTCGAGGGAGAAAGAAAAAATGAAGAAAATAAAGTAGTCCCTTTGTCATAATAAAACTAGTTTTTCGCTGGTTGTGGAGAAATTATGTTTATATTTTGCAAGACATGAGGACTGAACATTGTGTAGTTACATTTACACAGATATATTGCTGTTGGAAAATTTTTTTACTGTTTTTCCCAACTTAATTCTGAAGCAAACATCATTTGGTGGCTTGTCAGGAATTTAAAGACCTTTTACAACATAACTATGTCCTTTATATTCTGTTTTTACCTAGGAAACACTGTCAGAGTTTTAAAATTTTTTGAATCCATGATTCTGCATTTATGAAGCATCTCCCATTGTGATTTGATGGATGATTTCAACTAATGGAAACAAAAATGAATATTCATACCAGATTTCCTCCTTTTTTTTTTCTGTTCCAGTCATGTTGTAAAGTGCTCTATGTTTAATTTAGGTTTTGTACTAATTTAAGTTTTTTACTTGTTCTTGTTTTCTACGTGAGATATTTGACAGGAAGAAAGGTTGCTAGTCGAAGAGAGGATCTTCGAGAGCTCATAGAACATTTTAATGTGAGTGTTTTACTCAAAATATTATCATTTTCCAAGTAAATTGTGATTATCGCATTTACATATGCACATTATGTTTTCTGGATATAGCCAGGTAATGACATTTTTCATAGCTTTTTTTTTCCATTCATTTTATTTCCTTGAGGGATCATACCTATGTGAAAATAAAGTTTCATTACCTAAATCATCCGTGCTCTATGATTTGGAGTAGATTGAATGGTGGTTGGGATGTCATGTGTGCCAGTTTATATGCAGTACGGCATTTCTCATAATGGCGCATTTGGTATTGTACATTTGACATGAGTGATGCTATTGATCTTTGATATTTTTATGCGGTCCAGATCATTAACTCTTTTCCGTTGTTCTGAAAATCTGTTTCAAACTAATTATTTTTGGAGTTGGTGATGTTTATAATTGTGTGAATTTCAGAAATTTTGATTTTAATTAGCTTTTTTTTTTTTTTCCGCTGCATATTCTAGGAAGCGCATTTCTCTACTTGTTTTGTCACATAGCATGCACATTATTTGATGGACATGGATAATTAAGGCAGCTACTGTTCAATGAATGATGAGATATTGTGCTCTTCCTGCTTGTCATCAAACTAAAATGATTATTGACTATTCTCACCTTTGTAATCCTTTTTCTTTCTTTTCGCTGTTTACTTTTCAAAAATTAAAATTTAATCAACTCCTTCTAGTGGTGAATGTTTAAGATTTTATGCTCTACGCCATGCAGATTGATGTTGAGAATCCTTGTGTAATAATGAGTCAAGACAAAAGTAGAGAATTTCTGCATTCTGGGAATGAAAAAGATAAGTTCAAGGTAACTTCTAAACTTACTATGAGTATATTTGGTGTGAAGAGAAACCATTTGGGTGCGGTTCTGACATTTCTCTATGCAGTTTTTTTTCAAGGCTACTCTTCTTCAACAAGTTAATGATCTTTTACTAAGTATTAATGAACAACTGAAGTCTGCAAATGCACTTGTTGATGAACTGGAGGCTTCAATTAAACCCATAGAGAAGGAACTCGCTGAGTTGCAAGGAAAAATAAAAAACATGGAGCATCTAGAAGAAATGTCTCAGCAGGTACAACGATTAAAGAAGAAGCTTGCATGGTCTTGGGTTTACAGTGTAGACAAGGAACTCCAAGAACAAATGGTGAAGATTGGAAAGCTTAAAGAACGCATACCCACTTGTCAAGCTAAAATTGATCATGAACTCGTGAGTACTAAATTCTTGGTACATGGTAGTACTAAAAACGCTCATCAGTTTTTGTGAACTGCATTATAGATTTATGTTCTATTTCACCTTTTTCATCTCTTCTGTGGAGGCTCCAGTTAAATTTATAGCTACAGAGTTTCCCTCAAAGGTGATTTTGGTTCTGTTTTTTTCCACCAAGCTGTATATTTTTGCTTGGATACATCTTTATTTTCTTTTTTCGTTTGCTTTTGTTACCCTGCTGACTATGGACAAATAGGTTCAAGATATGTGGATTTGATAAGAATTGTGAATGGTGAGGTTTAACAACTAAAAACTTTCATCTAGTGGTTGTAACAGTACATTTAGGTAGCTGTATTATTTGGACTCCGCCAGCAGCAGTGCGTTTCAGAAGGGTATGGGTTTAATTTGATTGGATTCAAATGCAGGGAGCAAAATGTTGGTATTTAGGTTTTGTGAATAATGATTCAATAGGGTAAATTTTGGGGTTGAATAAAATGAGAAAAAGGAAAGATCTAGATGGCTGCCCCACTATGCCACTCTCTTTGGGGACAAAAGAAGCATAGCTGCACATATAAGAGTAACAGAGGCAAGAAAAGAAAATTTTTATATAGGCCGACAGGCAGTAGGCATGCATGTGAAACCCATGTCAAATCTCTCAATATTACATTGAAAATAAAAAGTTGCAAGTTTAGAGTAAAACCCAATCATTTGAAACACCAAGTCTCAGTAAAAACTACTTTAATTTACTTCTAACAGTTTAATAAAGAACCTAAGGCTTGCTCCCATTGAGTGTCCCATGGGTTTCCTCCCTGGGAAAAGCCCTAAGTTTCCAAACCTGAAAATTAGGTGAAACTAGTGAGCAAATCCTTTTCTCTTCAATACATCACATACTCTACCATTCCCCCTGGCTAGCTCTGCATTGTCCTGCCATGCCCCACCCTGCCCGTTCTTTTCTTTTGTCATGCATATGCCTTGTTTTCCTTGTTTTACCCCAAAGTTTTAAGTTTTCAATTTTCTTCCATTTAAATTCCTCACAATTCATTGATTTTCAGTTGAATTGCTGTTCATGGGAGAATACAGTGAATATCGCAAATTGTTTTCGGTTGAATTTGACCTTTTTGTTCCTGTTCATGGGAAAGTTGATGACGATCCCAGTGGTTTTCATTTTGTTCTACAATTAACTTATCAATGTTTTCTTGTATTGTTAGGGTGTGCATCCTTTTGTTGCATGAAGTCTGATTATAAATTACTTTATAACTTCCTGTTAAAGCATTTCTTTCTTTACTTTACAGACAAAGGTGGAGAAATTGAGACACACCTTCATAGAGAAGAAAGCCCAAACTGCACATATGGTGGAAAGAGCGGAAGAAGTGAAGAATAAGCGGGATCAATTGCAGAATTCTGTTTCCTCGGTATGTTGGAATTCTAATTCTGTCCGAGGGAAAGTGGCTAGCAGTGTTAATAAAATAAGTTCACTGTCAAAAAAATTGAACTGAAAGCCAAAACTGACAACTGGTGATTGAAACTTATTTGGTTGTGTTCCTGAAATCAGAAACAAAAACTAGAATTCTGTTCGGTTGCTTGTTTTTCTTTTTTCCTTCCTGTGATCAAAGAATGATTTCTGATGGAGAAAGAACCAGCAGATCAAGAATGCATGTCAGTAGAGCTGAGTTATCTCATTGCACAAATATAAAATGTGTTGTGTTTGGACATAATCATGCAATTAAAAAGGCTTAGTAGATGTTATCAAACACAGTCTAATGTATTTTGATAACAAAATATCCTGTACCTCAAAATTATGTGTATAAAATCAAAACCTGTGTTAATCACTTAAGATTATCAAAATGCATTCCTGGACCCAGACTAGATTCCTTACTTTGTACTCCTTGTTTGGAAGGAAAGAAAAAAAATCTCAGGCCCATATTTTTTTGGAACTTTGAGATTGCATAGACTATTAAAATCACCGAGAACATATGTTAGCATAATATGTCAGTTGAAAAGTGTACATGAAGATATTTATGCCTTGAATAATATGAATCATACATAAAGAAGTGAAGTCAATCAGAGTCAGTTGGCTTCTATAATTCTCATGCATCTTATGAATGTTATCATTCCACGTGTCTTTTGTGGCTCATATTATATTCTTCTTGATTTTGAGTTGGTACTTCATTGCACATTCTGTAGAATGACAACAAAAACAGTATTGGATGGATTACAACAGGCACTAGTGAACTTACAGCTTGCCTGAGCTAGACATTGTGATGGTGGCATAGTGAATATACATTTTGTTAAATAGTATGATCTGCATTCTATGCTTTGAATGTGCATATTTTAGCTGTTGTAGTTTGTACTTGTCCTGCATATCTTTATCTGTTTCTCTTAATAGTTGACATATTCTGATAATTGTGTCACCTACTGCTGCAAAAATCTTAGGCAACGAAGAGGAAACTTGAGTTACAGAACGAGCACACTCGCCGAAACAATCAAATTCACAGCATGGCGAAACGTGTCAGGTTGCTTGAACAGCAAGCCCAGGATATTCATGAGCAACATGTTAAAAATACACAGGTTCTTCTTTTGCTTTGAATAGAGACAAATTCCCTTACTCCCTACCCCTGCTTGTTTCTATGTCGTTCCTTTTTATTTTTGAGTGTTCCTGATAATTTTTTGTGATCTATTGAAAACTGATATGAATCAGAAAATATTGGTTGTATTGTCGTACCTCTACATGTATTACAACTTACATATATATAGTTACATATAGCATCTAAACTAGAAAATTTCAGCTATAAATCTTCCTAAACTCCTTGATTAGAGCCTTAGATTCCTATAGTTACAGCCTAAGATACATCCAAAATATTCTAAATAGAATATTTCCTATTCCAACACCCCCCTCAAGTTGGCATGTAAATGTCTTCCATTGCTAGCTTGCTTGCTAGCAAATCAAATTGTTTTTTTCAGTAGACCTTTGGTGAGTATATCAGCCACTTGTTGAGAAGTAGGAATATGAGAAACACAAATTAGCCCACTTTCAAGTTTTTCATCGATAAAGTGCCTATCAACTTCAATATGTCTAGTCTGATCATGAAGAATCAAATTATGAGCAATTGAAATGGCAGCTTTGTTATCACAATAAATTTTCATAGGAAGTGATGTAGGAAGTTTCAAATCTTCTAGCAATTTCTTAATCCACATAGCTTCAAAAATTCCTTGTGCAAGGGATCTAAATTCTGCTTCAGCATTACTTCGTGCCACAACATTTTGCTTCTCTCCAAGTAACTAAATTTCCTCCAACAAATATACAATATCCAGATGTTGATCTCCTGTCTGTCACACTACTAGCTTAGTCAGCATTAGTATAGACTTCCACTTAAAAGTGATCACTTTTTTAAATATCAAACCCTTTCGTGGAGTCCCTTTTAGGTAGTTTAGTATCCTATAAGCAGCTTCAAAGTGCTTATGGCCTGGTGTATGCATTAATTGGCTTATCATGCTTACCACGAATGCTATATTAGGGCGAGTGTGTGACAGATATATAAGTATGCCCACCAAGCGTTGAAATTTCTCTTTTTTAGTCATATCCTCAATTTTAGTAGGATTTAGTTTGAGATTTACCTCAATTGGAGTCTCAACAGCCTTGCAACCTAGAAGATCGGTTTCATTCAGTAATTCAAGGATATATTTCCTTTGATTTACAAAGATTCCTTCACGTGATCTTGCAAATTCCGTGCCAAGAAAATATTTCAATGTTCCTAGGCTTTTAATCTCAAAGTCTTCAGCTAGTCTCTTTTTCCATCTTGCTAATTCATCAAGATTATCACCTGTTAGTATCATGTCATCAACATATACAATGAGGATTGCTATTTTTCCTTTATCAATGTATTTATAAAAAAGAGTATGATCTGCCTGACTTTGATGATACTCATATCCTTTTAAAGTTTTTCCAAACCGTTAAAACCCTTCCCTTGGAGATTGTTTGAGGGCATATAATGACATCTTAAGTATGCAAACTTTGTTTTGACCAATAAACTTTTCAAAACCAGGAGGCGGACTCATGAAGACTTCATCTTCCAAATAACCTTTCAGGGAAGCATTTTTCACATCTAGTTGGTATAAAACCCAATTGAAATTAATTGCAAGAGACAATAAAACATGTATAGAGTTAATTTTGGCTATTGGGGAAAAGGTTTCCTGGTAATGTGTTTGAGTACACCCCTTAGCCATAAGTCTAGCCTTGTATCTCTTTGCATTACCATCTGCCTTGCATTTGACAGTAAATACCCATTTACACCCAATTGTTTTCTGACCTCTAGGCAGCTCTACAATCTCCCATGTCCCATTTTTCTTTAGTGTATTTATTTCCTCCCATCATATCTATTCTCCAATTTGGATCATGAAGTGCTTCTTGAATATTTTTTGGAACAAACAGTTTAGAGATTTTTGAAGTAAATGCCCTATAGTTTTGAGAGAGATGGTCATAAGACAGATATTTTGCAATTGGGTGATTAGTGCAAGAACGAGTTCCTTTTCTAACTGCAATAGGAATATCAAGATCGCAATATTCATGAGAAATAACATTGGGTAAAATAGGAGGTGAAACAGGAGGATTAGTATTTTGAGAAGTGTCTTGAGTACCTGAATATGAGGTAATGGATTGACTAGGTGTTGAAGGAACAGTAGGTTCCTTACCCTTTTGATGTTTTTTTCTCCTTGCATAAACAATGACCTCAGGTTCTTGATCCTTATAATTATTTTGCAGTATTTATCTCGTTGTCAAAGATTCTGCAATTTCTGGCAAAACAATATTTTTATTAGTAGAAATTGCTTTGTCATTTTTGAATACACTAGGTGTAGAGGCCACTATTTGAAGTAAAGTAGTAAAAATAGGTATGCTGTCCCAACTATTTTCTTCCCCTAAACTCTCTCTTGAAGAAAACTCTTTTGAAAATAAGGCTGATTTTCAAGAAATAAAATATCCATAGTAACTAGGACTTTTCGAGTCTTTTGATGAAAACACTTGTACCCCTTTTGATTTGATGCATAGTCAATAAAAACATATTTTTCAACCCTTGGATCAAGCTTGGACTGATCTTTATTGGGTAATTGAACATAAGCTATGCACTCAAATATTTGAAGGGGTAAATTGGATGAAATTTGGTTTTCAGGAAAGAAATTTTTAAAGCACTCAAGAGGAGTAATGAATTTAAGTATACGGGTAGGCATTCTGTTTATCAAATATGCTATAGTTAAAACTGCTTCTCCCTAAAGATACTTAGGGACATGCATAGAAAATATAAGAGACCGGGCCACTTCTAATAAGTGTTGATTTTTTCCCTCAACTATACCATTTTGTTGAGGTGTGTCAACACAAGTGGATTGATGATGAATGCCTTTATCTCTAAAAAAATTTCTAAGAATTTCATTGAAATAGTTAGTACCATTATAGTTTGAAATTGAGTTTCAATCATGTTATAAAAATTTTTGAACACTATCCTAACTTCAGATTTATCAGGCAGTAAATATACCCAACACATCCTAGTATGATCACCAATAAAGGTTACAAACCATTTTTTGCCTGAATAAGTAGGAATCGATGAAGGATCCCAAACATCACTATGAATTAATATAAAATGGTTGTGAGGGTTGATAAGGTTTTGAAGGATAAATATTTTTATGACTTTTTAACAAAATGCAATGTTCACAATGAAAAAGGGAACTATCTAGGCCTTTAAAGAAGGTAGGAAACAATTTTTTAAGATAGAGAAAACTAGGATGCCTTAGTCTATAGTGTTGGAGCATATAGCATCAGAGCATTATTTTATCTTTAACAGGGATAAAATTGATACTACTTAGTCCTTGAGGTCTTTTATCCTTGGAGACTCCATCTTCAAAATAGTAAAGACCATCAATCATTCTAGAACTGCCAATCTTCTTCCTCGAATTCTGGTCTTGAAAAACATAATAGGAACCAAAGAAAGTGACACTACTATTAGAATCTTTTGATAATTTGTTGACAGATAGAAAATTGCATGTAAGTTTTGGTACATGCAGAATAGATTTAAGGGATAAAGTATTTGACAAAATAATCGAACCTTTGTAGCAATAGGTGATTAAGACCCATCTGCCATATGAAATTTTTCATGACCCAAACAAGGAAGATAAGTATGAAATAAATTTGAAAAACTTGTCATATGGTTAGATGCTCCAGAATCAATAATCCATGGAGCGGATTGTGATAAAGAGTAACACACGAAGGCATTTAAATCACCATCTGTTTGTGCCAAAGAAGCATTAGGAGTACAAGATAATCCAGAATTGGATTTGAGCATGGAGTTCTTTGCATCCCAAACTGGATAGGCCGGATCATCCAAGTTTGACTCTTCCTCACCAGTTAAATACCCAATCTTTTCCTTGTCTCGGATGTACATGTGCACAGATTGAGACCAGTGCAAGAAATTGTTTCCATTCAGTTTGATAGTGGTAATCTGAATTGAATGAGAATCTAAAGATAAGTCATGAGGATTCTTTGTCTTATTAGTGGAATCCTTGGTTTTGGAAGAGGTAGATGGATGAACAAGATTGGGTATAAATGCGATATAATTTCAGACATGGTGGTGAGGAAGGAAAAAAATTAGAGTGGTTGATGGCTAGGGTTTCTTGTTTAGAAAAAATAGGTTAGCTTTGATATCATGTCAAAAGACCATCTAACCTAAAAGCATAAGCTGTTAGGTGAGGCCCTAGGATATGATTTATATTATTCTCTAATATCTATTCTTTTTAAGTAATTCATAACAAAATTGTACTTCTGATCATCCCCATTTTCCTCTTAAATAAATACAATTGCTTGCATTGCACATCGATTTTTTGGAGATTATAATGTCAAACACGCATTTTCATATCAAAAGTCAGTATTAAAAGAATCCTTTTATGATACAACACAAGATGGGCAGCCCTCTTTTTAACAATGCAATATCATCTGACTAAAAGGGATTCCTTTTTCAATGACCATAACTATGTGATAATTTTGAACCACATTGATCAAAGAAATAGCGGGGAAAGGTGGCATGCTAATCGAAACGATGTTTACATCTGGATTTGGCATTTGATATTCATAAGATGCCAATTCAATTCATCATTGCTTCTTCTGCACTTTACTTTAATTTCTTTAGAGTATTAACTATTTTCTGTTGGTTGTCCCCCCCAACCCCTTTCAGCGCTTTTAATAGTTGTGTTTTCCAATTTGTACTTGTATATGAAAAGATGGAAAGAGGTTGTCTGCTGTTGCCAGAAGTATTCACAAGTTTTATTCCTCTGATTTTGCTATTGCCCCAGGCTGAAGAATCTGAAATAGAGGAAAAGCTAAAGGAACTCCAGGACATGGTTAATGCTGCGAATTCCACACTTTCAAGGTCTTCCATTTATTTGGTCCCACATTTTGTGTGCTTATACTTTACCATTGTCTCTGTGGGTTGACTTGCCCAATTAATATAAACATAATTCAGGTTGAAGGAAGAAGAGAGTGCTTTATCAGAAAGCGTGTCCAAGGGAATTAATGAAATTAGAAAGATTACCGAAGAGGTATGAAGATGCTTAACATAGTACAATACTTAATCACGAAAAAACTATGTTGTTTAACTTGTCATCACTCTTCTTCTGTCGAGTCTTTTTGATCTTGACATTTGAAGTGATTGGACCAATCATAGTGTTGTAAAGGGTGCTTGCCTGGGCTCTTGGGTGCTGCAAGGTGCATTCTTGGTGCATGGTGTAGGTTTAGGCAGATAATTCCACTGGGGCATGCCTCGACCCTTTTCTTTTCATGAGGTGTTGGGTGATTGGTTGAAGAGTTACTTCTTTATCTTGCATTTGCTATTGTATCCATTTTCAAAGGTATTTCTATTACATGAATTTGAGGGTTTGCTTATATCTTGGAGGCTTAATAGGAAACGAAAAGGCTCAAGATAAACATAACCATTCTGTCTTGAAACATGGCTTTATAGCAATAAAAATGGGAAAGGATTTGACCAAAAATTGGGTATAAATTATCATTTATAGCTATTTATTAAAGGTGCCTTGCTTTACTTGGTAAAGATGCCTATCTAATAGCCCATGACATGTTTAAGATAATAGTTTATTTTGAGTTTATGTAGTAGACAATGTGAAGCTCATTTGTGATTGTTTAATGTGAGGCCAATAGCTTTTCAAAGATATACATTTTCACAGGAAGATTTAGTAGGAATAGTTGTATGTATATCGTATTTGTACTTTCAAACTTCAAAATATTTGTCTATGTTAGTGCAATGTTTTCTTTCTTGGATAAAGTTTGGGAAATTTTTTAAATTTTGGTTTTCAGATCGAAGTTTATGGAAAAAAGGAACAGGAAATCCGTGCCTATATCCGTGAGCTCCAGTTGAACAAAACCAACAAGGTTTGTGCTACTCATTTATTGTCATATCTGTGCACAACATGATATCTCTTGTGCGTAATCATCTGCAAAGAGTAGACCAATTTGTTTTCCATGCCATTTTCTTCAACTTGGAAACTAGATGCATATGCAATATATCTTTCAACATGCACTTCATGATTTCTTACTTATAATTCCATAACAGGTTACAGCGTTTGGAGGAGATCGAGTGATTCAACTTTTACGTACAATTGAGAGACATCACCACAGATTCAGAAGCCCGCCGATTGGTCCAATTGGTGCTCATATGGTGAGTGAAAAAAACAGTATGCCTGCCTGCTGATATTTTTATACTGGGTCCGTAAATTTAAAATACGACTAGTGATTTCTAAATTTTAGAAATCACCTTAACAATCAGACTATGCACCTAGCAGGTTGTGCAAATAAAGTTGTGGATTCACTTGTACGGGACTTTGAAACCTCAACCTTTGCTGGGCGTTTGCCTTCAAGGAAGCATTTAAAACAACTATGACTATACAATGATACATGCTTAACCATTTTGATTAGTTGCTTTACTCTCTGCAAACTATTCATTGTTATTACAGGATTTTGTCCCAGGGATTCCTAGTTCTGTTCCTCCTCCTCTTGTCGGACTTGGTTGCTTAGTTACTATTTTGTTGCGTATATTTTATTCTTTCGAGAAACATTTAAATGGGTTACAGATGTTTTTTAGGTTTTAGGAGGGCGAGTGATATTCTGAAATTTCAGGACAGGCTAGTTTGTTAAGCATCTTTATGGTGTATGGTGTTTGGGGGCTTTGGGAGAGTTCCCTGGGCTGATTTGCAGCAGGATGGATAGCTCATATGTTTTGATCCGTCTATTACGTGGGTGTCTTTGTCTTTACTTTTGATTTCTACTCTTCTACTCTTAATAAAATCTTCTCTTATCTGAAAAAAGAAGTATCGGAACAAGATTGCAGTGTTTTTCTTAGTCTTGGAAGCTTCTATATAGGTTATTTGTTCGTATTATTTTTGGTTCTCAGTGGTCATTCATGCAATTTTTTTCTTTGAAGTCTATTTGCCTTATGCTTTTAAGATAATTACATTTGACTAGTTCTCTCTATGAAAGAGAAAATTGACTCATTCTGAATTAATTTGGCTAGCTCGTAGTGTTTTCTAAGCTCTTCTTTATGCATGATTGCCTAACCTGTGATTTTGGTGAGTTGAGCTCATGCAACTTGAAATCTCTCTTGTGGAGGTAAAGTGATGCACTGGCGTAGTATTGGCCATGATGATTGGAAGTCCTTATAGAGCAATTTCCTTCATTTCTCTATGTAAGGTGAAATTGGAACGAAGTCATCCAGTGACCTCATTTTTCCATTATTGGTTTGAATTGCCATACTTAGAAATGGTTTTGCTGTCATTGTTACATTAATTTGGAACAATATAGCACTACATTATTCAAAATGCTATGTTATATGGCTTTGCTTTCAGTTTAGTGTCTTTGCAATGTCACGAATCAATGTTATAGTGCATTGAAGAATAACTTTTGTTTCTGTGGACTTTTGTGACTTCTTTACTCTTTTTTCTTATCTGTTTCAAGTTGAGATTGGCCTGGCATTTCTTTTGTCTTATTACATGAACAAGTTTGCTACTAAAAACATGAATGCACTTTTTCCTCTTAAAGAGCCTCTCAGGATACTAAAAGCTGACCAGATACTTTTTGACACGATACTTGTAAGAATGGTGCAAATTTTGGTTTTGTTAATTGTGTCTTAAGTTTGGAGAAATCAAGCAAAGAAGAATATTGAGTGTTGTGCCTGATTTGCATTATGATATGTATCTCTCTGGTGTGTCTATGCCACAATATTACCTTGGAGCTATTTGTATATCTTGAAGATTTATGGTTGCCCATGTGCTCTTAGGACATTTGAGTAGCTACCCTTTTTCCCTTAGTAATAATATTTCATCTGAAATGAATTAGGCCTTTTTAGCAACTTACTGTGTCTTTACTATCAAATGTTGTCAAAACTCAAATGATAAATCCTGGATGCAGGATATTTAAGATAACTTTCTGAATATTTCTGTTCAAATTTAGTCAGTGTCATCTGACTAACATTCCTTCCTTTTGGGAGAAATTCTTTTACATAAAATATTCATTGGTGAAATAGAGAACTTTTTTGTTGTTTTCTGTCATTAGTTTGGAATAGGCTTACTTGAGCTAAGGTTAGTTGTTTTCTTTAAATTGCTACACTTTTGGTTCCTGTAGGTAACATGTTTTATATTTTACTCTTGTGAGAACTGTAGTTTAAAGCTGGAGATAATTCCTATATGGGCTTTCGATATCTGAGTTTGTGTCATTTTTCTGGGCACACTCAACTACTGCAGCATTCTTCCAGTTACTAGCTAATGCATCTTGGTTAATGGTTAAACCCTGCAGACTTTAGCCAATGGTGATAGATGGGCTCCTGCTGTTGAAAATGCTGTTGGGAAGCTGCTCAATGCTTTCATTGTGACAGACCATAGGGATTCTCTTCTTCTGAGGGGATGTGCAAGAGAAGCAAACTATAACAACCTGCAGATTATTATATATGATTTCTCAAGACCAAGGTAGATGGATTGCTGCTTTTATTCTTTGCTTATGGGTTTTATGGTGGATACTTCGTAGAGTGTTCTTATTTTCTTCTGCAGGCTGACCATACCACCTCACATGCTTCCACAAACTAATCATCCAACTACATTTTCCGTTATCTGTTCTGACAATGCTACTGTTCTAAATGTTTTAGTGGACATGGTAAACTTCATAAATTTCTTCATAGTGTCTCTCATTTAATTTAGTTTTATTTTTACTTCCCTTTACGCAGTATTTGTTTTCTCCAAAAGCCATTAATGTGTGTGAGCACTAACTTTTCCAGGGAAGTGCTGAGAGGCAAGTGCTTGTAGAAGATTATGAAGCAGGAAAAGCTGTTGCTTTTGAAAAACGGATCTCAAATCTAAAAGAGGTTTATACAATAGATGGCTATAAGATGTAAGTTGGAACTGTTCATTTTTTACTGATGTCAGATCCAGTTGTAGATGACACTTGGTGATCCATATGAAATGCATAAGCATTGTTGGATTAGATAACCAGACTCAAGCAATTTAATCAAACTTTTTTTTGGAAACTTTTGGTAATTTTGAAACAATTTGTCAGATGAACGTTTAATGTTTGAATGTTAAGGTAATTGTTTCTCAACTTTTGTTTATGAAGGTGGAGTATTTCATCTGAATGGTAGCTTACATAAAGAAATGAGATTTATTCCAGATTTCTAGTATTTGTCTCGCAAAACTTATTTTTTAAGGAGAATAAAAAGAGAACAAAAGAAGACTCTGAAGTGAGTTTTGCAGAATAGAGTGCCCTTTTTGCGTGAAACACTGCTTCAAACAATAGTACTGGCACTTCTTTTTACACACATAACCAGAACAGGGAGGTCGTTATATGCAGAAAATGGTAGAATTCTATTTCATGTGAATGGTAGCATACTGGAAGCAATAGGATTTATTCCAGAATTCTAGTATTTGCCAAACTTTATTTTTTAAGAAGAACAAAAGCAGAAGAGAAGAAAACTCTGAAGTGAGTTTTGCAGAATGAAGTGCCTGTTTGGGTGAAACACCGCTTCAAACAATTGTACTGGGCACTTTTATTACACACATAGCTAGCACAGAGAGGCCATTAGGAACTAAAAATTACTATATGCAGAAAATGATTTGGAAATGTGAATGGTACACATTGAATCTTGCTTGCATAATAGTGCTGCTCTTACAGTCTTACATTGTGTATTTCTATGTTGCAACGGGATCCTCTACCAGAGAAGTACTTATCATTTGTTCCTTCCTAGGTTTTCACGTGGGTCAGTCCAGACAGTTCTTCCCCCAAATAAGAAGCTTAGAGCTGGCCGCCTTTGTGGTTCATTTGATGATCAAATTAGGAATCTTGATCGTTCTAAATCAAATCTTCAAAAGGAAGCTGACCAGTGCAGGAAGAGGAAACAAGATTCTGAAGCAGATTTACAGGATCTTCAACATGCACTAAAGACTGTGAAGGTAATAGTTGTTTCTCAACTTTTGGTTTTTTATGATCCTTAATGAATTTTTGTTCACTTAAACTGGGGGAAAAAGCACAAGCTTTTGTTGATGGTTGTTCACATTGAGGTTGTCATACTTGCCCTATAATTTTCACCCTACTGCAGTATACAACAATTAGCCTGCCCTTAATGTAGTAGCTATTGCTTGGTGCAATGGTAAGAGTCTTGAACCTGTCACAATAAGGGTGCAAAGTCTTGAGAGCAGTTTATGCGAAAATGCCGAAGACTGACTTTAAATTCCCCCTCAAGGACCGCATTTCCGTGTGCATAACTGAGCAATTTCTTCTTTTATTGTTTTGCTTGACAAAATATGACAACAGAGATTAAAACGTGTGTTTTTTAATCAAAAAATAACAAAATTTAATCAAATTTCCAAAATGCCTCTTGCAGTTTCTGAATATTAAAATTATTGGATGACAATGCTTTTCATTTATCATTACATAAGAACTTGAAATATTGAATTGAATTACTTGCATTAAACTGTTCTATTATTTCAGAACTGGAAAAATAAATCCTAAAAGATGAATCATCCTTTCCTGCTTTCCTGTCCATGAACAAAACATGCTTATAATGTTTATTATCTAGAAAAGCATGGTTTCAAATTTGAGGGGAACTAGAATCCACTTTCTGGTCATCTTCTGCTTGATATTTTGCTCATACAAGATCGCAGATCAATTTACATTTGGTGTTTTCTCACCAAATCTGCTTGATGAATGAACAGAAGCTGGGCCTCATGCCAGGCTGGGCGAAGTGGATGCATTTGTGTCATGCTACTCGCATTCTTACATTAATGTTGAGTTTTTGATAAACTTAAAAAAAGTGTTTTTTTTCTCCCTTTTTGCAATCCTTTGTGGCTATCCCAGATTTCCTGGAGGGCTTATTTGTCTTTAGAATACAAGGTTGAGCCCTAATGAGGGCTCCGATCTTTTTTGTAGAATGATGTTCTGCAGTATTTACATATTTGGAGAATCAGGTTCACATAATGTGTAATATAAACATCTTATACTATTTGCCTATTTACTTATATTAATGCAACCTAGCAAGACGTCATTACAATCATCTTTTGTGGTCAAAAAGAGTTTCTGCCTAGAAGAGTTGTTTTTTTTTCTAATCAAGAAAATCATTGCCATCAACTATTAAGATTGCTAATTCCAATTTCTTGACAGTCTATTATATTTCTCATTTAGGATGCAGTGGGGAGGGGGTGGTTGAGGGTACACTTGGGTAATGTACCGATTTAATGTTTGTTTGTTGGTGTAGGAGAAGTGCAGGAATGCTGAGCGAGATCTGGTATCTAAGAATCTAGCACTGCAGGATACAAAGAACTCATATGCTTCTGAAACCAGTTCACCAGCTGCTGCTTCAACTGTTGATGAGCTTCAACGAGAAATTTCAGTTTGTTACATGCCACTAGTGTTGCCTTTTTACCCCCAGGCCTTATTATATCAGTCTGATCTAGATTTTTTATTCATGTATATGATGTACGACGGATTTTCTTTTCCTCAACAACATCATATTATTGTGGATGTTTTCAGAGCATCCAAGAGGAGATACAAGAAAAGGAAATGCAGCTGGAGTCACTTCAGGTCAGAATAAATGAAGCTGACACAAATGCGAATGATCTTAAATTATCATTTGAAGATTTGTGTGGTATGGCGTAATGTTAAAAACTTTTATGTGCATTCAATGAAATTGATTTTGTGTGCTCTTTCATCCACAATATACTTGTCTCTATATGCAGAGTCAGTGAAAGAAGAAATTGATGCTTTTGATAAAGCAGAGAATGAGCTGATGAAGATTGAAAAAGATCTACAATTTGCAGAAGCAGTTCCATATCCTCAGCCTCTACCCTTTGTTTTGTGGTTCACTGCAGTTCTTTATGTTATTTCTGCAAGCTTTTTCTGAAATCGAAGTATTATTTCAGGAAAAGGCCCGTTATGAAGGATTAATGACTACCAGGGTCCTTCCTGATATTGAAATGGCAGAGGCACAATATCAGAAGCTTGAGGAGACCCGTAAGGTACATTTCATGCCTCTATATTTGTGTTTGTTTATATGATTTTCTTTGCAGGACTGTATTTTCAAATTTATTTCTTTCAGAAACATGGTACATATAAGAGATCATCGCTTAAAATAGGGAATAGTGATTGCTGAATATAAACTCAAGGACAAAGCCAGTTGATTATGGGCCCATTTGCTCCTTCAAATAGCCAATGACTTTCCTTTTTAACCTTAATCCAACCTAACTGTGCTATACTGCTATAGGAAGTCAATTTCATTATTGGTGAATCATGTAATGCCTCAGGTACCCCCTTTACTAACAATGAACGGTGTCGGGGCCTATCTCCTCTGCCTTCCCACTTCTTCAAAGCTGAACTTAAGCTGTCGTATCTAATTTTGATGTGATATTGTGAATTGATATGAGCAGGAAATATTAATTGTATTGCCGTACGTCTACTGATATTACAACTTACATATATATAGCCACATATAGCATCAAAATTAGGAAATTACAAACTAGAAAATTAAAGCTATTAATCTTTCTAAACTCCTTGATTAGAGACTTAAATTCCTATATTTACATCCTAAAATACACCCAAACACTCTCCCTCAAGCTGGCTTGTAAATGTCTTTCATTGCTAGCTTGCTTAGTAGAAAATCAAATTATTTTTTCAGTAGACCTTTGGTGAGTATATCAGCCACTTGTTGAGAAGTAGGAATATAAGGAACGCAAATTAGCCCACTTTCAAGTTTCTCCTTGATAAAGTGCCTATCAACTTCAATATGTTTAGTCCGATCATGAAGAACCGGATTATGAGCAATTGAAATGGCAGCTTTGTTATCACAATAAATTTTCATAGGAAGTGATGCAGGAAGCTTCAAATCTTCAAGCAATTTCTTAATCCACATAGCTTCACAAATCCCTTGTGCAAGGGATCTAAATTCTGCTTCAGCACTACTTCATGCCACAACATTTTGCTTCTTGCTTCTCCAAGTAACTAAATTTCCTCCCACAAATGTACAATATCCAGATGTTGATCGCTTGTTTGTCACACTACCAGCCCAATTAGCATCAGTATAGACTTCCACCTGAAAGTAATCACGCTTTTTAAATATCAAACCCTTTCCTGGAGCCCCTTTTAGGTACTTTAGCACCTATAGGCAGCTTCAAAATGCTCACGGCTTGATGCATGCATGAATTGGCTTATCATGTTTACACCAAATGCTATATCAGGGCGAGTGTGTGACAGATATATAAGTTTGCCCACCAAGCACTGAAATTTCTCCTTTTGAATCACATCCTCGATTTTAGTAGTATTTAGTTTGAGATTTACCTCAATTGGAGTCTCAGCAGCCTTGCAACCTAGAAGATCGGTTTCATTCAGTAAATCAAGGACATATTCCCTTTGATTTACAAAGATTCCTTCATGCGATCTTGCAAATTCCATGCCAAGAAAATATTTCAATGTTCCGAGGTCTTTAATCTCAAAGTCTTCAGCTAGTTTCTTTTTCAATCTTGCTAATTCATCAAGATCATCACCCGTTATTATCATGTCATCATCATATACAATGAGGATTGCTATCTTCCTTTTATCATTGTGTTTATAAAAAAGAGTATGATCTGCCTGACTTTGATGATACCCATATCCTTTTAACGTCTTCCCAAACCGTTCAAACCATGCCCTTGGAGACTGTTTGAGGCTATACAATGACTTCTTAAGTCTGCAAACTTTGTTTCGACCAACAAACTCTTCAAGACCAGGAGGCAGACTCATAAAGACTTCCTCTTCTAAATCACCATTCAAAAAAGCATTTTTCACATCTAGTTGGTATAAGACCCAATTGAAATTAACCGTAAGAGACAATAAAACACGTATAGAGTTAATTTTTGCTACTGGGGCAAAGGTCTTCTGATAATCAACACCATATGTTTGAGTAAATCCTTTAGTCACAAGTCTAGCCTTGTATCTTTCTATATTATCATTTGCCTTGTATTTCACAGTAAATACCCATTTACACCCAACTATTTTCTAACCTTTAGGCAGCTCTACAATTTCCCATGTTTCATTTTTCGTTAGTGCATTTATTTCCTTCATCACAACTGTTCTCCAATTTGGATCATCAAGTGCTTCCTGAATGTTTCTTGGAACAAACAGGTTAGAGATTTTTGAAGTAAATGCTCTATGGTTTTGAGAGAGATGGTCATAAGATAGATATTTTGCAATTGGGTGATTAGTGGAAGAAAGAGTTCCTTTTCTAAGTGCAATAGGAACATCAAGATCACAATATTCATGAGAAAGAGCATTGGGTAAAACAGGAGGTGAAACAGCATTGGGTAAAATAGGAGGTGAAATAGGAGGGTTGGTATTTTGAGAAGTGTTTTGAGTACCTGAATCCGAGGTAATGGATTGACTAGGTGCTGAAGGAACGATAGGTTCTTTACCCTTTTGATGTTTCTTTCTCCTTGCATAAACAATGACCTTAGGTTCCTGATCCTTCGGATTATTTTGCAGTATCTCTCCCTGTTAAAGATTCAACAATGTTTGGCAAAACAGTATTCTTATCGGTAGAAATTGTTGTCATTTTCGGAAACACTAGGTGTAAAGGCCATTGTTTTAGGTAAAGTAGTAAAAATAGGTATATTGTCCCAACTATTTTCTTCCTCTAAACTCTCCTCTTGAAGAAAATTCTTTTGAAAATAAGGCTGATTTTCAAGAAATAAAACATTCATAGTAACTAGGACTTTACGGGTCTTTGGAAGAAAACACTTGTACCCCTTTTGATTTGACGCATAGCCAATAAAAACATATTTTCAGCCCTTGGATCAAGCTTGGACCGATCCTTATTGGGTAAATGAACATAAGCTGTGCACCTAAATATTTTAAGGGGTAAATTGGATGAGATTCGGTTTTCAGGAAAGAAATTTTTAAATCACTCAAGAGGAGTAATGAACTTAATTACACGAGTAGGCATTCTGTTTATCAAATATGTTGCGTTAAAATTGCATCTCCCCAGAGATACTTAGGAATATGCATAGAAAACATAAGAGACTGGGTAACTTTCAATAAGTGTCGATTTTTTAGCTCAGCTATACAATTTTGCTGAGGTATATCAGCACAAGTGGATTGATGATGAATGCCCTTATCTTTAAAAAAATTTCTAAGAATTTCATTGAAATACTCGTACCATTATCAGTATGAAAAATACTAATTTTAGTTGGAAATTGAGTTTCAATCATGTTATAAAAATTTTGAAACACTGTCTTAACTTCAGATTTATCAGCCAGTAAATATACCCAACACAACCTAGTATGATAATCAACGAAGGTTACAAACCATTTTTTGCCTGAATAAGTAGGGATTCGTGAAGGACCCCATATATCACTATGAATTAAATAAAATGGTTGTGAAGCTTGATAAGGTTTTGAAGGATAAATACTTTTATGGCTTTTTGACAAAATGCAATATTCACAATGAAAAAGAGAACTAACCAGGCCTTTAAATAAGGTAGGAAACAATTTTTTAAGATAAAGGAAGTTAGGATGCCCTAGTCTATAGTGCCAGAGCATTATTTTATCTTTACTAGGGATAGAACTGATACTACTTAGTCCTTGAGGTCTTTTATCCTTGGAGACTTCATCTTCAAAATAATAAAGACCATTGATCATTTTAGCACTGTCAATCTTTTTTCTCGAATTTTGATCCTGAAACACACAATAGGAATAAAAAAAAGTGACACTACAATTAGAATCTTTTGATTATTTGTTGACAGACAGAAGATTGCATGCAAGTTTTGGTACATGCAGAACAAATTTAAGGGATAAAGTATCTGACAAAATAATCGAACCTTTGCCAGCAATAGATGAGTAGGACCCATCTGCTATATGAATTTTTTCATGACTTGAACAAGGAACGTAAGTATGAAACAAATTTGAAAAAACTTGTCATATGGTTAGATGCTCCATAATCAATGATCCATGGAGCGGATTGTGATAAAGAGTAACACACTAAGGTATTTAAATCACTACCTGTTTGCGCCAAAGAAGCATTAGGAATACCGGATAATCCAGAATTGGATTTAAGCATAAAGTTCTCTACATCCCAAATTGGATAGGCCAGATCATCTAAGTTTGACTCATTCTTCTCACTAGTTGAATACCCAATCTTTCTCCTGTCATGGATATACATGTGCACAGATTGAGACCAACACAAGGAATCTTTGGTTTTGTAAGAAGTAGATGGATGGACAAGAGTGGGTGTAGAATCCGATGTAATTTCAGACATAGTGGTGAGGAAGAAAATAAATTAGAGTGGTTGACGGCTAGGGCTTTTTGTTTAGAGAAAATAGACCAGCTTTGATACCATGTGAATTGATATGACGCAAGAAATATTGATTATATTGTCATACCTCTACTGGCATTACAACTTACATATATATAGCTACATATAGCATCTAAACTAGGAAATTAAACCTAAAAATCTTCCTAAACTCCTTGATTAGAGCCTTAAATTCCTATATTTACATCCTAAAATACACCCAAATAGAATATTTTCTATTCCAACAGATATGGTTAAAAACATATTCTGTTTGGTTTGACAGATAAAAAGGTTAAAATGGAAGGATCAAAAGGAGAGAATGAATATCAACCCATCCTAGGAATGGAAAGGATGGAAGCCAAATTGGATGGGTTGCAAATCACAATTAATGAAGGATGGGAGGGATCTTTCCCTTCCTTCCACAGGTCTGTGTCTGGCTAGCAAAACAATTGAACTTTCTCCTCTCATGCATCCTTTCTACTTTTCCCTCCTAACAAATAGAGTCTCAGGGTTCCAGGTGGCGAAGCATCCAAAATTAATTTGCCACTAAGGTCGACAATTAGCAAATTTGTCCTTTTGTAGGAAGAGAGGAATTGAAATTTTCGTTCTACAAAATGAGCCACCAAACCACTGTTACAAACCTTTAGGTTCTGTTTGCTAAGCTGGGTCAACCAATACCTGAGCATGGGCTTAAAGCATGCTTTTTTTTTTTTTTTGGAGGGTGGGGTCTGAAAAGGAATGGAATTAGAAAACTACCCTCATAAATTCTCATGGACCATGCCAAATACAACTGATATTCACTCGTGTCTCTCTCTATTCCTCCCTGGAACTTCTTTCTTCTCTGTAAATATTTTTTTTCTTTGTCAATCAAATTGTTACTGTAACTTTGATTTCAAGGTAACAAACTAGGTCTTGTGGTGGTGTGGAGGTTGAGGACGGTGGAGTTGGTGTTTTGCAATTTCTGATATTTTATCTTCATTAGTTTTACTGATATGGTCACCAAGAAGGTGGAGCTGGGTTTTGCTATTTGGGATGTGGTGGAGTGAGGGGACCGACCTGGTTTTTTGTGCTTTTACAGTTACTAATGGATTCACAGTGGTTCTCTTTTCCTTCTTTTTTTATTTTTTGTATATCTTAATAAATATAATTGTGATGATTATTTTGGATTTTTGAGATGGTTAAATCACCAGAAAATGGTGGTGATATGTGATGGCTGTCAGTAGAGGTGGAGGTGGGTGGTATACCTGGGTATTGAGGTTAAAAAGTAAATTGAACTTTTATTTCTAATCACATTTCGTTCCTACCAAATTGATCAATGGGAATACCTTTTCTTTCCCATTGCATGTCTTTTATTCCCATTTTTGCATTCTGATTCTCATCGTACCACTCCTGGTACTCCAAACGGAAACCTTATTCCTAGAACCAGACACTAAAATGGCTTTGCATTCCTACTTAACCATAATTTAGTGTGAATCTCAATTAACCCAAATATGACATAAGCTCATCCAGTTGTCAACTCAGTTCACCTAAGTCTCAGTCTCGACAAGCTGAGTTCTGTTATATTTCTCCCTTTTCTCCATTTAGTTCTATTAACCCAAATATGACATAAGCTCATCCAATTGCCAACTCAATTCATCTAAATTTCAGTCTCGACAAGCTGAGTTCTGTTACATTTCTCCCTTTTCTCCATTCAGTTCTATCAACCCAACTATGACATAAGCTCATCCGATTGTCAACTCAATTCACCTAAGTCTTAAGTCTCGACAAGATGGGTTCTGTTACATTTATCCCTTTTCTCCATTAAGTTCTGTTACCCAAGATTACAGAAAACGGATGAAACCTATAATCCAAGTAATCCAGCCCTAAAGACCTTTGAAACTTGAACATCTCTCTAGTTTTACTGAATCAAAGATACCTTTTTTATTGTGTGCTGCTGATTTATCATTTGCCTTATCATGGGAGATAGTGCCATTTCAGGAGAAACTGTAATTTAACCATGGAAAAATTTTATGGCAAATTCCCCATCCCCTCCTACCCAAAAAGCCTTCAGTGGTTGAGAAAATAACATGTGAACTGATTCAACAAAGATGACGAGGAAAGAAAGATAGAGCTAGAAGTGTAATGAATGATTTCCAGGCTGTGTGTGTGTTATTAAAATATGTTCATTGGATACTTCTGACATGTTGAGGAGTATCTTAGCAGAATCTGTACCATTCACCTGTTGGATACAGCCATTCCTCCCGTGTATACAATGATACATATCTGTGTTTTCTATATTATCGATATGATGAAGAATCCGGAAGTTTGGCGCCAATAGCGTTCACTACTATGTTAGTAATGCCAGCATTTAGAAGTTGGTTGTGCTTCCCTTATCCTTTTTTGTAACTGATGACTGTTCAAGCTTTTAAGTAGAAAGTCTGTTGTAGCACCATCCTGGAGCTAATTTAATATTATGTGAAACTGTAGGAGAGCTGCAGAAAGGCTTCTATTATATGTCCTGAGAGTGAGATTGAAGCTTTAGGAGGTTGTGATGGCAGCACCCCAGAGCAGCTCAGTGGGCAATTAAATAAACTGAACCAGAAACTTCAGAATGAGTGCCAGCAGTATAGTCATAGCTTTTATCTTGCATCAGTAGAACATAAGTGACATGGCAGTTTCAAATAAAAATTCTTTCTTTCTTTCTTTCTTTTTTTTTCCCCTTTGGTAACAGGCATTCTGACTCCATTGATGACCTGAGGATGTTTTATCAGAAAAAAGAGCATAAAATTTTGCGAAAACGACTAGCATACAGAGGTTTTCGTGAAAAGTTGAAGGTAAATTCTACTTTTATCTAGTTTTCCACACTAAGTTTAATCATATCCCAGCATCCATGAATGTTGATTGATCTATAAATTTGATTTTTTAGAGAATTGATTCTCTTGAAATTCGTGTTTGTTATTCCTTTTTTGGTTGTTGTTTCTGGTCATTTTCACTCCAGCTACAGCTGGGTTTCATGCTTGCCTCAAAGGCAAGCGGCTGATGTGCAATGCTGTATTTGAAAGGGTATGGATGTTGTAATTGTATTTTTCTATGTTCAAAGTGAAAGTAAAAGAAGGCCAAGGAGATAGAAGAAAGGAAAAGAAAAATGTTGTAAAACAAGGGAAAAATTATGGGAGAAAACAGAAAGGGAATAGTTTCCAAGACAGATTTCAGAGAAAGAAATAAATAATAATGGCTTGTGGAGTTTGAAAATGGAAGACCCAATTCCTGTATTGGGACAGGTTACAAAAATGGGAAACCTTCTCGTGAGGCCATAAAGCTATTCGAAAGATTGGTTTTAGTGTAGTTTTCTTTCTCATCGAATGAATAATGATGCCCCATTTAATTCGTTTCTTGATTTGATCTTCCTCTTTTGTGCCAATCATTGTCTTTGTTTTTTCCTCTCATTCAGCTTAAGAGTTATGTATCCTCATTATAATTTCTTAACCAATAATTTTTTAAATCATCTCTAGATATTTGTGTGCTTGTTATGGTGTTTTTTCTCCACTTTTTTTTTTCCCTTATTAATCTTTCTTGTTTTTCTTATCATTGCTTTCCAGCACATTTCAGATTAGTCTCCCTGTTTTCTACTTTGTTTGGTTGTTGTTTCCGATGGAGGATTTTATTTTCTTGTCCATTTCTTTTCTTTGTAATCTTTTGAATCCCAGACTTGCGAGGAAGCCCTGATTATGCGATGGAGCAAATTTCAAAGGAATGCAAGTGATTTGAAGCGCCAATTGACTTGGAAGTATGAATTCGTTTATTTGGTATCTGAAATCTTTTTTTTTTTTTTTTCCAGATTGCCCAATGTCATTTCCAAGAATCTATTGTTTATTTGGATTTCATGATGATTTTTACGTTTCCTTCGTCAATTAGTTTCAATGGTCACTTGGGAAGGAAAGGGATTAGCGGGAGCATTAAAATTAGTTATGAAGAGAAGACCCTTAAAGTAGAGGTACACAATTTGTTTTGGAATCCTTGTGTAATCTGCATGTTTTAGTTCCATGCCTTGATTTATGAACCAACATTTCTATGCCTTGTTTTATGTTTTCTTGACACCTTGGTGCTGCTTATGTTGGTCTTGTCCTTCTAACTTCTAGCTGCATTTATGCTGTCAGGTAAAAATGCCCCAAGATGCTGCATCTAGCAGCACTGTTCGTGACACTAGAGGTCTTTCAGGTTTTCTCCTCCCCTGTACTTTTGAACTGTCTTGTCTTTGTATACTTATAATATGTGGTGGAAGGCTTCATTAGCTACAGATACTGGTTTCATCAAGTGTTTGCAAGAAAAAGTGCACTTGGTTCTTATCAAATCTTTAATTTTGTCATTTCCATGCTAATGCTTTATTCTTTCTTTGGAATCTTTAACCAATTTCTGTTTGCAACTCAAGATTTCCTCTAGGAGTTGCTAACTAAATGATGTTTGTAATCGGCTGTTAATAAGGTGGTGAGCGCTCTTTCTCAACATTATGCTTTGCATTAGCTCTTCATCAGATGACAGAAGCCTCATTCCGAGCAATGGACGAGTTTGATGTATTTATGGTAAATTCCCGTGACATTTATATTCCATTTTATTAGTGTGTAAAATTGGTCAGTTATCATGCCTATTATCTGGAGGATGCAGCTTCTATGTTCCACTCTGAATTGTAAGAGAGAATCAGTTTCTGATACATATTCTTATTCTTTGTTGCTCTCCAGGATGCTGTTAGTAGGAAAATCAGTTTAGATACCTTGGTGGAGTTTGCATTGGGCCAAGGATCCCAGTGGATATTTATCACTCCTCATGATATCAGGTTATTACTTGTGCTTTGCTAATTTGACTGAATTTTGTATGCTGCTAGCTTAGTAATCTCAAGTCTGATTTTCTTTTTCAGAAAAAACAATTTCAATACTGGTCCATGTGCATATAGATACTGTCTTGATGATTTTTTCTTAATCTTTTGAGTGGATGTTAAATGGGTTTCTAAGAATTAGGATTTTGGTGTTTTCGACACTTCAACCTGTCTGAAATTGTTGCCAAGTCAATGATCAAAGTGTCCACATCAGAAGTAATCACTTTGTTTTTGGTGCTTTCAAATGTCATACATGTCGCATGAGATGTTTATATGTTTCATCTTTTTTCATTGCGGCAAAGATGTTGATTAGCATTGAGCTAAACTATGCTGGCATGCAGAATTTTGAGATGTCTAAGATAAATTTGAGACTTAAGAGGTTGGACCAATGGTCATAGTCACCATTGCGATAATGGTCAAAGGTGGCAATTGGTTGGGCATATCATGGGTGTAAAGTAAGGTTGTTGGCCTTGTGGCTACCAGTGTTGTGAAACATTTAGCAATTCTTCATAATTTCATAGTAATTCACGTATTTTTAAGGGTAAATTACAATAATCATCTTGGAAGTATCATGAAATTACCTTGATCGTTTAAATATTTGAAAATATTATGAAAAACCCTATTTTTCCCAAAATGCCCTTAATGTTAAGGGAATGATTTTAAAAATATGAAAGGTGTTTTGGATACTAAATGAGGTTTTTGGAATATTTACTTTAATATGAAGGAATTTATGTCAAATCTTTAAACTTCTAGATGTTCTGTGTAATTTTATAATAACTGGGGATCATTTTTGTTATTTACCTTATTTTTAAAAATTTCAATAAATAAATGCAACAATGTCAATAACACTTTTAATAGTTTAATATCATATAAATTAGGCATACAAAAGATTTTCAGATCAGAAATATATATATAACAACTTGAGGTTTGTTGGTTTGCCTGTAATAGTAAGAGAGCATAAGAAAATTTTTTATTTAATTTATTATTTTTTCTGTACAGTTTGGAAACTCTTAAACATAAAGTTTCCTTTTCTTTTCTTTTCTCTTCTATTTTTTTTAAAAAAAATTAGTAAGTTTCAATTTTTTTTTTTTAATTTTTTTTTTATTTAAGGTTTTTTGGACAAATGTCGTGTTTTTAAGCCTCACTTGTGTCTTTTGCAATTAAACTTGCTAGTTGGACAAAAATTTAGACGGATGGTGACATTGCAGAAAAAAGAGAAGGACAGGGATCTAAGCCAAATTAAAAAAAGTTTAAAGGAATAAAAGTTTAGGATAGTTTTTTTACTAATTAGCCTATAAAAATAGTAAAATAATAGGTTACAACTTACAAGTTTTGTGTGAGAAAATACTCAGATCTTGCTCAGATCTTGTAAAAAACAAAAAAAATTAGCTTTATAATTACAAGATATATGCCTAATACTAATGTTTGATAAAAGATCAAAGCTCAAGTTAACATAAATTTCAATACATTAGTGAAACAAAAACGTCAGCCAAAGCTTTTGAAAATCATTTGAAAAATAATGTCAAATCCACTTTAGTTCTTTGCCAATATAGCAAATCAACACCTTAAAATCATACAACTATACAACAATTGCAAAGTAGTATCAATTTTCAACAATATTTACAAATAAATGTAATAGAGTTGAGATATCACATCAATCATCCACACTAAAAGTTGGATATTTAGTTTAAAATAAACATTTCAAATTTATGTTTTATTTCGGTCCAGATCACGATATCTTGGAAGAATTTGGTGTGGTTAAGTGAAGAAAGAAAGTAGTGAGTATTCCTGCATGAATTGCATGCTCGCATGTGTTTTTTGTATGTGAAATTAGAGCATTCGGTATATGAGCCACTGTGGCATCAAGATTTTACTTAAGACTTCTTTTGACCCATAATTAATTGTAACCAATAACATTAATTTGGTGGATTTGGAGAACTTCATGTATTCTATAGCATTAAAAAAATTAAATAATTCTATATCTAGCATTTTGTTTTGTCATGTTGTATCTATTCAAGTGTTCGAGTGTAATTTAATAAAATAATGGGTTTGTATTTGCTAATAGACATGTTTAAGATCTCGGTTTTGTTGCATTAAACTCTCTTTATAACACAATTCCAGTGTTATGATTCCCCGAAATTACATATAAATGGATTTGATGATGTGGTCATATACGATTGAATTGAGTCAACCCTGAAGAATGTATTAAAAATTTGGATCCGCAAGATGTAACTTGTTGGTTGTGGTTGTTTATATAGCGGCGTAGAACATCATGAGAGGATAAAGAAGCAGCAGTTGGCAGCTCCACGCTCTTGACTATTAATTGCAATTTCTGGTGCTATTTTGTGCAACTCGGAATGCCAAGTACTGGTTAGTTATGGTTAGTCTAGTTGCTAAGATATTTATATATGCTATGCATCCATATGTATTAGTAGTCCGGATATGGTATTCGTTTACTTTTGCTGTTGATTTGGGATTCGTTGCCATTGTCACGGAAAATTGGCTTTTCAGATACGGTGCATGGCCTCTTTTACAATCTCTCCCTCTCTGAACAAGACACTTAAATTTCCATAATAATACGACAGTCAAAGCTTAACTTCATCCGCCTCTCTGGATTCCTTCATCCTCCATTCTCTTGTTGCCTTTTTGAGTGCTTTTTGCTTGACTGCCAGGCCAGGACATGAGCTTTGAAATTTAGCCTGCAATTAATTGAAATTTGCACGTTCCACTATGACAATGCCTGAACGTGACCAATTTTCGTTTGTACTATTTTGGACAAGCTCTGAAGGAGCGAAAATGCGAATGAATGAAAATATGAACACCACCCCACACCCCCCCCCCCCCCCCCCCCCACCACCCCCCCACCCCAATGCCTGGCAGTAGACATCAATCAATCATGTACTTAAAAAGATTTTGTTTGGTACGACATGGAAAAGCATGCATATTTGGATGGATGAGATAATTTTTCGTTAATCAAACTAGACTTACGACGGCTGAGCCCAATACAAGAGTACAAACAAAGGAAGCCATAAATACATGCTTCGACACTCTTGAAATGAACTCGATTGCAGGTCAAAGAGATGTTATTTGTCGCTGTTCTATTTATTGGTGCATTACCGAAGATTATAGTTTAATACGGCTCCATTTGATGATTTGAAGAAGAAAAGAAAACTTGGTGTAATTTTTGTTTGCTTGGCAGAAAACAATTTTTAATAAAAAATAAAATAAAATAATTTTAGAGAAGTTATTTTTCAAAAAAATATTTGTTTACGTTTCGCAATCACATGAAAATACTGTTGGAAAATATATTTCAGTATTTTTTTGATATAGAAAACTGAAATACAAAAGCAAGGTGTGATTATTACATCAACGACTTTGGGGAAAATTTCAACAAGTCATTTCACAATCTTATAATATAAAAATTATTAAAAGATCTCATATACATAATAGTTCATATACAAAAACCTATCAAAACAGAATATATCAATTACCGATATGTTGGTGTATCAAAATAGAAAGCACCAGTTATAATAAAAAATATATCGAGACGGATACCCATGGTGTTGAAATATCATTTGGACCGTAATTTTTTTTTATTTGGATGTATGAAATATTTCAAAATCAATTTACACTTGTAACTAAACCTTTTTCGAAACATTTTAAAAATATATTTTTAAAATCAATAAAAGACATTTAGAAAAATTTAATAGATTTTTATAAATATTGACTCTAAGATTTAAATTCAAAAAATCAAAAAATAAAATATACATTTTTAATCATCAAACCAAATTATCAAAATTACTTGGGACAAAATCAAGTCAATATTCACATTTAGTAAAAACATTTCAAAGTAATCCTAGAATTGTTATTTTGGTAACTCAATTAAGAATTCTTTTTCTTTCTTTTTTTATTTTTAGAAATTGAACTGATAATTTAGTTTAAAAAATACTTTTACAAATTATTAGTTATTATTTGTAGATAATTGTTCATTTGGTTTCAAAAGATTTATGTTGAAATAATTTATAACTAATTATTGACTACAATAACAAATAAAATTTTACAAGCTGATTAAAATTAGCACAAATTATTGATTTAGTTGCAAATGAGTAGTGTTGAGAAAATAATATATTTATTAATGAATTAATTTAATTAGTTTCAAATTTTTCACAAATGATTACGATCTTGTAATTATCATTTTCAATCATTTAAGTATAGTTTAAATGATGTTTGGGATAATGATAAAAAAAAAAAGATAGAGATAAATCATTGAAATATTTATTATAAAAATAATTTAAAGATGTAAAAATGGTTATTAAAAATATTTAATGTATTTATAAATCAAAAAATCAAATGTTAGTAGAAATAGAGAAAAATAATTAAATAATTAATAATAATTGATAAGAAATAATTAAAAATTAATTTGATATATTTTAAATAAAAAAAGTGATAGAGAAAAAAATTATTAAAATATATTGAGAGAGGTGAGTAAGCGAGAGTGAGACAACTCATGAGAAAGAGAGAGAAAATGTTTTTTTTCTTTTTTTAGCTCGGAAGTCACTTTTCTAGAAATAGCATATTAATTTCCGTTGACTAGAAATCAAACTCCGTTGATTTTTCTCCTAAACGCGAAACAAATATCGAAAAAATGAGGAAAAATGAAAAAACAAGTTATAGGAACTTATTTTTCCCAAAAAAAACACAGACCTTTAAGTAACATGGAAATTAGTCCAAGGAAAATAAAATAAAATAGACATGTAGAGATCTTTATTGTCAAAAAAATAAAATAAAATGGATATATAGGGATCAAAAGATAGGTTGCTTGTAGAGAATGTTGTTTTTATCACATATCTATACATGTGTATTTGATTTTTAAAAAAAATTTATATATTATATAGAAAATGTTCATTAATGTGTTCTTAGAAAAGAGAAATTAATGGATTTTTTTAATCAAAACTTTTGAGTGAATATTTTTCAAAATACATTTTTTATTAATCATTTTTGCTTAAAGGTCGTGTTGTGATATTTAGATTAAGATGCATATTTTTTGTTAAGTGTAAAAAAGTTATATTAAATACTAGTTCAATCAATCTCAAAGTCTCTTAAATTGTTGAAAACTTTATTATAATACATGAATTGGATTGGATTTTTGTTTAAACCCTAGTATTTTAATTAATTCTTTTGTTGGTAAAAATACGAAAATAAATGGCTAAAAATAATATATGTTATGGTAGTGATAATAAATGCAATTTTGGCCAATGTTATTCTAATGATAGTTATGTTGATACAAAGATGATGGTGGCAATGATATAAGTGGAAAAGACTATGGCGGGGTACGATGAAACTAATAAGATATGGTTTTGTGTATATCAAAATCATTTATAATTTAAATTTTTTTAATTGAGATCCTAAATTTTTATTTTATCATCAAATTTAAGAGTTTTACTCTTATGTTGTTGTTT